AATAGCTATCATTAAGTATTCTCTACGATGTGATTGTAATTTTTTCCCCAAAACAATATTTAATATAAAGCTTTTTGTTTTTGTTTTTATTTTTTATTGGCAGGGCCTTACTGCAGTAGATGTCACTGATGATTCTAGTTTGATTGCTGGAGGTTTTGCAGATTCAACTGTCAGGGTGTGGTCTGTGACACCCAAAAAGCTGCGCAGTGTCAAACAAGCAGCAGGTAACTGAGATGACTTATTAGAATGTAGACTCATCGTTAGTTTACACCAATCTTGATTCCATGGAACATACGCACAGATTGTGATCTTAGCAGAATTTCACTTGATTTTCCTTTAACTCAAAATGTTCATTCCCAACAGTGAAAAATGCATTGGAGTGGCAATCAGGAGACTGTCATGCTAGACTGGTTTAATTTCTCTGGGCCTCAGTTTTCTCATCTGTAGAATGAGAGGCTTAGGCTAGAAAATTCCTTAAGGTTAAAAACCTAACATTTTCTGATTGCTTATGAATTTTAAAAAACTTTTAATGTAAATATGGGAGAGTACTTTGTTTTAGCCATAAAAATGGCTAAAAAGAATAAGGTCTGCATTTAATTTTAAAGAAAGTTTCTTGCTAACTGTGTTGTTTAAACAAGATAATGCATTTTCGATAATTTAATATTTCCATAGTTTTCATTTTTGTGAAACATTGTGATATAGTGGATAAACTTGAGTTTCAGACCTAGTCCCAACACTGAGTAACTGTGCACTCTGGCAAATTATTAACTATTCTGAATCTCAGTTTTCTCTCCTATACACTGGGATGATATCACCTAATTTAGAGGTGTTAGCACAGTGGTTGTTATGTAGGAGGAACTGTTCAAATGTTATTTCTTCTCCTGAGCTGTAATGTGATTGCCTTAAAAGGTTTTAATGAATATACTTTTAAAAATCAATATTTCTGGACCATTTTAGATCTTAGCCTTATAGACAAAGAATCAGATGATGTCTTAGAAAGAATCATGGATGAGAAAACAGCAAGTGAATTGAAGATTTTGTATGGTCACAGTGGGCCTGTCTATGGAGCCAGCTTCAGTCCGGATAGGTAAAATGCAAACAATAAAAATTAAATACTGATGTATTATATTGAGATTATGTAAAAGTGAACTGCTGAAAACATTATGCAAATGTTGGGAAAAGTTCTCTTAGAAAAATCTCATGGTTTTTTTATCATTCATTATCTTTTAGCATCTTGCCATTTGTCAATTCATCTTGGGTTGCTGGTGTACAAGATAGCAACTTAATATATAACCAAATTATAGAATCAAGATGCACAGCTTCAGGGTTTGCTGGTTTTAAAAATTAGCTTCAGTTTTGTATAACCCCAAAAGGGGTTAAATTGCTTCTTTGGGTTCCTGCCTTGGGTTTTGTGGCTACTGCGGTCTTCCATCATCTCCAAATTCACAACAGATTCCTGATAGTAAAGGCATATTAGCTATCAATTGAAGATTTATCTTTGTATAATCAAAAGAACTAAGAGGATACAGGATACTGAAAAGGGAATTTGAAACCCACAAATAGGTATTTGCCTATTTTTCATGATCTCTAACATTCTGTAGAAATGGGGGAGTATTTTGTATTCATAATACCATATGTATCTTACTTGGATAGATAATAGCTTTCAATCCATCAAGATTTTCGTCTTCATGAAACTTTGAGAATGAGGTTTTTTGTTGTTTGATAGGCTTTAGCCAGATGATACATTTTTATTTCAGGGAAACTTCTGATTTCATTGAAAACCATTTTACTTTCTGAGTAGCTCAGCTATTGTATTTATCCCTGAAAAAGAGTATTATTCACATGTATAGTGTTTTTTTGTTTTGTCACAGGCTTTCCTTTTAAATTCTTATGCAACTCATAGGATAGGAAAATAGCATCTCCATTTTAAAGTAAAAACTTGAGTTTTAAGTGACATCTTAGTCATATTTCTTAGAAGCCTTTCTCAATTGACCTTATTTGACCATACTTTTTGTTATTACCCCTTGGTATTGTTATTACTTTTTTAAAGAACTATGATTTTCCTTCTATTTTTTTTTTATAATCTAACCTCATCAGTAAGTGCTCAGTAGATGGACGTGTCATGGCTAGCATTAGTTTAGTTAGTACTTTCAACTCTACTATCTACTGTGAATTCCATGTATAAAAGTGAGATATAGCATGTCAGTTAGCTATATTTAATATATTCAAAAGTATAGAGAAACTGGGCGGTAACTAAAAGGTATTCTGGGAATCAAATATATCACCTTCTCTTCTCTCAGGAACTACCTGCTTTCCTCTTCAGAGGATGGAACTGTTAGACTGTGGAGTCTTCAAACATTTACTTGCTTAGTGGGCTATAAAGGACACAACTATCCAGTATGGGACACACAGTTTTCTCCATATGGATATTATTTTGTGTCAGGCGGCCACGACCGAGTGGCTCGGTAAGGACATTGTGATTTTACGACTGGGTCTATTCAAGGAACAGAATGGTTTCTTGCTGAGAATTACAAACTTCAGCCAAACTAATTTTCCATTCTGTTATTCAGGGTCAACTTTTTAGAATGTCAACACTGAAAACTCCTTCTTTGAAAATGCATTTGGGACAAGAGTATTAACTATGTCTGCAATTATGTGTATACTGAGCCCTGCTTTTATTTCCCAAGTTAGCTTATTAACACTCTCCTTGCTTAACACCATCTTTCACTACCACTGTGAGCACCTTTGTCTTCCTGTCATCTCCATAAAAGTTTAGGGTGAGGTAGCCCAGGTTAGAAACTAATTATATGTGGTGGTCAAAACTAGGGGAAAAAAATACTTTTCTATGGGTTAGACTAGTAGTTGGGGTGGGACAGGAGAGGAGGGGGTTCATACAGAGAACTATGAAGAATTCTAGAATTTAAAAATTTTTGTACCACGTCAACTAAGAATGCTATTTAGTCTCAATCATTCCTTCTTTCCCTCGGGTAACTAGTGAGGAAGACCCATTTGGAACTAACATTTCACATGGATGTTTCTGTATTTATTTTGGATAGAATTTTGGCATTTCATACTTAACTACTAATTATCATCTTGTGCTTTTAATAAATTTTTTTAAAGGCTCTGGGCCACAGACCACTATCAGCCTTTAAGGATATTTGCTGGCCATCTTGCTGATGTGAATTGTACCAGATTCCATCCAAATTCTAATTATGTTGCTACGGGCTCTGCAGATAGAACTGTGCGCCTCTGGGATGTCCTGAATGGGAACTGTGTAAGGATCTTCACTGGACACAAGGTATTTTTATATCTTCATTATTCCAGAACAGAAGGTTGCTTTTGAGAGAAAATATTTTTAAAATTAACCAGTGACACATACATTTTAAAGATATTATTTATAACACTAAACTTTACAATTCTAACTTTGTCTTATTTTCTTAGATATTTTTAACACTACTTTTCCATGGGCTTCTTTTTTAGGGACCAATTCATTCCTTGACATTTTCTCCCAATGGGAGATTCCTGGCTACAGGAGCAACAGATGGCAGAGTACTCCTTTGGGATATTGGACATGGTTTGATGGTTGGAGAATTAAAAGGCCACACTGATACAGTCTGTTCACTTAGGTTTAGTAGAGATGGTGAAATTTTGGCATCAGGTAAATGACTAGAAGTGTGTTAAAAGGAAACACTGAGTGTTGACAATTGCAAAATTAAGTCCTGCTGTTTTAGGTTTTGCTTCTCCTTAGCCATGATTCTAGTGTGTCACCCTACCTGTATATTGACTTCTCAGGTTAAACTACTGCTTAAAATGCTCTTTTAGAAGGAAGAGAGTTGTTAATCAGTTTAGATTTCTTTCATGAGAAATATACAGTAAATACATAAAGTATAGCTGACAAAATGTCAGAATTCAATTGTGGATGCTACTAAATGGTTTCCTTTGACTTCCCCGTAGGTTCAATGGATAATACAGTCCGGTTATGGGATGCTGTCAAAGCATTTGAAGACTTAGAGACTGATGACTTTACTACAGCTACTGGGCATATAAATTTACCTGAGAATTCACAGGAGTTATTGTTGGGAACATATATGACCAAATCAACACCAGTTGTACACCTCCATTTTACTCGAAGAAACTTGGTTCTAGCTGCAGGAGCCTATAGTCCACAATAAACCATCGGTATTAAAGACCTTTTGGAAGCTACTGTTTGAAAAAGGGAGACTAAAAGCAAATACCTCAGTAATTAATATTTAAGCTATAAAGAATGTTTTGTCTATATGGATCTGGAAGTATGCTGCTTGGAAAATCTGAACAGGACAGTTCCACGTTTCTATAGCAACCACATTTAACTAATTTCCGTTAGTTGAATAAGAGGTATGTTCGTGGAAGGGACATTTACGGTGCTTTGGATTGTGTGGAAACTATGCATTTTCTGTTCAAATGCTATTTTAATTTATTATGTTTAGAAAAAATCAATTGATTTCAATAATTCATCCTGCTTTAAGATTCAAATTGAGTAATATAATACCATCTTGAATTTTAGCTGAAGAATTCAACGAGCATGTATGTTTCTGCTGTAAAAATGTAGTTACTGTATGGCACTCAAGTACTACGTTAAATGATCCACTAACATTTTTGCTTGGCCCATGATTAGTGGAATGTACGTTAACTGGGTAGGGTGAACTACAGTTCCTTTCTAAGAACTAGGGGAAGTACAACCATCCGCTAACTTCTGAATTTACACCTGTTGGATTTTGAGTGCACCCAACACTCTTTAACCAGGTGAAGAAGTTTAGCTTCCATGTTCTACTTCAGCTAAAATGGCTACACACAACCTAGTACACTTGAAGTCAGACAGACATTTCAGTTGCTTACCTCCAGTACTGAGCCTTGCTTTGGGAAACTAAAAGATTTAGACCAAGTCACTGCCAGTTTTTTGCCTTTGTTGCATTTTGTACAGTTTTTATATTTTTGATATCTTGTAAATAAAGACAACCAGATTTTCCAGGTTCATAATTTATTGTATAAATTGAGTATCACATGATGAGTTGACATTAGCTTCTCAGCCATGGAAACTTAACAGATGAAGTACAGTCTACAATCCTATAAACAAAACAAAATAGTTTAGACACAAACGAGTTCAACTCTACTTTCAAGACATTCAATAATTACTAGTAGAGGACTACCTAGTCTTCTGAACCCCCTGAAATTGAATGCAAATTCATCAGATTCACAAAGGAGTCAGTAATCCTGCAAAATTAAGGTGTCTCTCCACTTAATACAGTTTAACCTAACATTCCACCTTGACCAAAAGAGCTGCCAACAATTCAGTATCATCCTAAATGTATACTATTGGAAAAGTCTAGTAGATAAAGCAACATTTTAAACAGTAGAAAACATCTGTTAATTAATATTTGAGAGACAATTTCTCCATTTTTGTAATGGGGTTACTACCACCCTCCCAAAATTAGAAGGTACCTAATATGGAAAATTGTGCAAAATACTACCTGTTTGTCAGGAATAAGCCATGGACCACTGCATTCTGGGACATGCAGTCCACTAAAGTCAGTGGTTATGGGATTGCAAAAGCTCTTTCAGAGCAGAGGAAAAACTTTCTGTCTGTGGAGAGCTATATCAGATAAAGATCTCGTTTTGGGTTTTCTGAACATCATCTGCCAACACAACAAATATTTATTCACTCAAGCATGGGCAAATGGGTGTTGAGGGGCAAAATAAGTAAACGAAGCCTATGGAAATTTAAAGAAAAGACAGAAATGCTTATATAAAAATTTGAAACTAGCAAACAAACTGGGAAAAATCGGATATATTTGCAATTGATTTAAAAGGTTAAAAATTATTACATAAAGAGCTTACACAAGAGAAATAGGTCTTCACAAAAAGAAGCCCCAATTGTTAAATGAGAAAAGCACATGACGAGAATGTTAAGAAAAAATGGAAAAAATGTACAACTTCATCTAAAAGACAAATTATGTTTACTCATCATATTGACAAAAATCAGGGATATTCAAAATAGTCTGAGGCAAAAGAGACACCCCCTTACAAAGCTGGATGCCCCACAACCCTTTGGGAAAGCACTTCATGCTCAAAAGTCTTCACTGTAATTTTATTTATATTAAAAAATTTTAATAGATTTCCACTGTAAATCATGTATCCATGAGCACCCCTGCATTCAAATTAGAGAGGACAGACTTGTGTTACAACAAAATTACGGACATGAATCACAGCCAATGGAAACCAAATAAAATACATAAAAAAAGAGCTAAAATGTTAAAAATTGTCAGGGTAATGGGATATGGGCAATATTTTCCTCTTTATTTTTGTTTATGTAATGCACAGTGACAACAATTTACTTTTATAGAGGGGGAAAAAACCCTAACATCAAAATGGCCAAGTTATAAACTTTTAAAGGTCAACTCCTTACCGTTTATGTTGCTTTCACCGCTGGAGTTTTTTTAGACCTTAACTTGAAGTATAAGACCAGCAAAGCAATGCTCCCATATGTGGCCAGTACACACTGAAATAGAAAGTAAAAAGTAAATGAGTTGTCACATCTCTGTTCTTCTAAAATATAACTGTTTAAAGGTATCATTAATACTTACATTCATTCTACCTGTGAGAGTATAAGAGTTGAAATATTTTTTGATACCAGTGAACTGGAATTGGGCATCAGTTTCTGGACCTGCCATGATTTCAATCTTTTAGAAAAAGAAAGAAGGCAATGATAAATTGATTTGGGTATAATTTAAAAGACAATTATTTTTTTCAGTTTAAAAACTTTAAAAGTTACTGCATATAAATATTGTTAAATTTTTTTGTATCCAACACAGCAGTAGCAAAGAACAGTGGAAAAAGCCTTGCTGATATGAGAAATTTTTGGAAGGAGGACTTTACCTTGGTTGCTATTACACACTTCAGAATATACATCAAACCACTCAGCAAAGAGTCTCCATGTCCATCTTCTGACCCAATACTGCCTGATGTTTTCACTCCTGGCACTATCTATACCATGGTAGACTGTACATAGAATTAATCAGTTTTAAGACTAGTTGAAAGTTGGCGCTTGTGATACTTTTCAAAGTTTCTCAGACAGGTACCTACCAACTAAAGGTCAACTTACAACCCCTCCTCTTATAATTTTCTTATAAATAATTTAGCACCTCCATGGAAACGTAGTTGATACATACTAGCATTGGTGGTGGGGAAGTTGGAATCCTTCCTTCTTAAACTAAAATAGATAAAAGATTTCAATGTAAATAGTGAAACAAAAAAGTCTTGGAAGAAAACATGGGCAAATATTTTAATCATCTCAGGGAAGGGAAAATATAAAGGCCAAAAACAAAAAAGGCGAAACTTTAAAAGATAACCTCATGATCAGTCAAAGAAATGTAAAATGAGATCAATATTTAACCATCAGACTGGCAAAAATAAAATTATGATAGTAAGTAGTAGTAAGAATGTGGGAAAATAAGCATTCCCTCAGTTGTCTGGAGTATAAACTGGTACAACCTTCCTGAAGTGCAATTTTGCAATATCTATCAAATTAGAAGGTTAGTATACCCTTTTATCTAGCTGATTCATTTGTTCTCCAGGAATTTAGCCTTACAGAAATACTACAAAGTGGAAGCATGTTATATGGTTCAAGATGGTGACTGAAGTACTGTTTATGAAAAGAAAAACTGGAAAAACTAAAGTCCAACTCCAGAAGACTGATAAATGATGGTTTTTATTGGGGGAAATACAATGTGTGTACATCTTTATGTATTGACGTGGAAGGATGTCCCCATGTAATGTTAAATATTAAAAAAAATCCTATTTCTGGACTATATTATACAGCACATAGAGAACAACAGTTCTCACTGGTCCCTAGACCAGCAGTATCAGCCTCACCGGAACTTGTTAGAAATGCAAATTCTCAGGCCCTACCTCAGGCCTACTGCATCAGAAACTGGGGGGCCCCGGAATCTGTTTTAAAATGCCCTCTAGGTGATTCTGATGCACGCTAAAGTTTAAAAAACACTGCAGTAACAGAAACAGAAAGCCAAATACTTATTAGTTATTATATAGGAAAAAATCCTGCATGAATATATAGCATACTTTTAAGAGGGGTTGTATCTATAGTACCTATGTATTTTACAAAGGCATGTATTTCTTTTATAATAAAAAACAGCAAAGGCACATTCAAAGGTCACCAGAACAACACTTGAAAATTCGTATGTATGACCGCCTATCTACCACGACCGACGCCACGCCGAGTCGATTGGCAACATAGACGAGCCGGTCGAGGTCCGGTCGAGATTGGTAGGCAGTGGCAGTAACTCAGCTGGCTCTTGATGAAATGGAAGAGGGAGAGAACTGTGAGGAAGTTGCTATGGAAACTGGCACTCCTCTGTTTACCATTCAAAGGCCTTCAGAGGCATTCATGTGCATAGAATTGGCAATGAAAATGTGGACAAATGACCTTAATTTTGAACACTGTTTCACGAAGGTTCTTGGAGTAATGAAGGAAATCCAAACATGGTTGGGCCCCCTCAGGAACCTTGGTCTGTCCAGCCCAAGTAGGAAAATCTCCATTAAAAGAAATCTTTAGGGACTGGCCGGATGATGTAGTGGTTAAGTTCATGCACTCTGCTTCGGTGGCCAGGGTTCATGGGTTCCCATCCCAGGCGCAGACCTACACATTGCTCATCAAGCCATGCTGTGGCGGTGTCCCCCACACAAAATAGAGCATGATCAGCACAGATGTTAGCTCAGGGACAATCTTCCTCAAGCAAAAAGAGGAAGATTGGCAACAGATGTTAGCTCAGAGCCAATGTTCCTCACCGAAAAAAAAACCCCAACATCTTTATGATGTAGCTTTTATATTAACTGTTTCATTTTATTAAACTTATTAAAGGTATTCTCTTTTTTCCATTCATCCATCTTCATGATACATTTTTGGATTCTTACAGTATCAAGTAGGTTTCTAAGAGAAACCCTACAGAACACAAGAGCTTAACTTTGTCAGATTATTAACTGATAACCCCCACTATCTTATGTCTAACAAAAAGTTTTAGGAGGATGTGGTGTCCAACTGCAAAAATATTAAGGTGCTTTAAATTTCCCTCTACTTTTCACAATATAGGGGGAAGGCTGATGTTTGGGATATTCCACAGAGGACTCATTCTGACTGCAGGAAAGGGCATGGTAAAGGAACTGAAATTTAGTCTTGGTCTTGGAGACTCGTGAGGCTGACACAGAGGGGAGGGGAGGGAGTGGGATGTTGCTAGTGAGATAAAAAACGGGAGCAAAGCCTGGAAACACTTGGGACTGCACCTTTCAGCAAACCGCAGATTACTTTTGGGCAAAGATGGGGAACCCCTGTGTTAGAGGGCCCTTTGTGGAATAATTGAGCTGAACCTTTATTTCCTTTTGAGTCATATTTAAATTCAGAAAGACATTAATGAAGAAGAAAATTACCTAAGACAAATAATTCTACGAATTGTTAAATGGTAGCCTGTGGGAAAGTCTAGAGATGGGGTCTTAGCTTTTGTTTCTTATTAAACGGTGAACGGCTATTAAATGTAATTAATCCTTCCATACTTCTCTTCGCCTGTGAAACGGACATTAAAGAGAAGGCCCAAAGCGGCCAAGTGTCCTCCCTACTTCTCGCTACTTTGTTTCTCGATAATGCTGTCTCCTGTCTGACCGGACACCCACCTGCAATGGTGAGATCAGGAGGGAAAGGAGGCAAAGACGAGTGAGAGCTGCTCAGATACCAGAAGCAGCCTCTTGCACTTCAAGTTTACAGCTCTCTGTTCTGGCGACCACCTAAGAAAGGCCTTCCCGCTGATCGTACACAGATCGACATCTAACCCGCTTACCCGCGGGCCTGGCGAGCGCAGGGGCCGGGCCACGCTCACTCTCGCTTTGACAAAGGGTGCAGCGCAGCTAGGGGCGGCCTGGCTGGCCAGCTTCCTAAGCACAGCTCAGGAAACAAACGGCTACACGCATACAGACGAAAAGAGGTCAATTCGGCCAGAGGTGGGGGTTATAAGCCCGAGTTCTCATCCAACATTACGTCACTGGGTGACCTTGGGGGACTCCCTTTGCTGCGGGCCTCATTTTTCTCCACTGGAAAATGCAATCTAAGGGTCCTCGGGAACTACGGAAGCATCTACCCGCCTCGCACCGAGGTTTCTCAGATGCTATCCGCCACCTCGCGCCCTGGCCCTCGTTGTCTCTAGTTCCTTTCCTTTCTCCGCCGCCCCAGGCCCGCAAAGCGAAGGCCTCGCAGGGTTCCCGGACCAGGCACGGCCGGATTCTAGGCTGGCGCCGCAAAGCCAAAGCGCGAGGTCCGAGCCCGCCGTCCCCTCCACACGCACCTTAGAAAACGCACAAATTCCGCAGCTGCGTCCTTCAACGAACTCAGCAACCCCTCGGTCCGGCCGGAAGAAACCTCCTCCCCCCGCGCCCGTGTCCAAAAGGCGACAGCGATCCGGCCTTCTGCGTTGATTCGCTACGGCTCGAAGCCCCGCCCTTCCGCTTCCTGTCTCTAAAGCCCCTCCCCGGACCCGTAGGACTCCGTAGTATAGTAACGGAAGTAGGGCGCTGAGCCCGCCCGAGCTTCCGGGAGAGCGACGTTAGGCTGCGGATGTGTTAGTCTCCGCGTGTGTGATTACAGCGGCGCGGGCTCCGGAGTGGAGAGGTGCTGGCGTTGCGGGGCCGGTGAGTGAGGGCAAAGGCGAGAACGGAGGAAACCTCGCGGCTTCCAGGCGTGTGACAGGGCTGGGTCCTCCAGGCCACTGCCATGAACCCGCAGTGCCGGGTGAGTGGTTCGGCCACCCGAGCCCGGCTTAGAAGCCGCTCTGCTCCAGTGGCCCCTGTAACATCAGGTTCTGTCCCCGGGAAGTAGTTTAAGTCTCTTCTTTGCCGCTGGATCGCTTTACGCTTTGAAGCTTCAGTTTCCAACTTGTCTGAAATGAGATTAAGGGTCAAGTTCCCAGCAAACTGAATCCTTCTGCACTTTCCTGTTTCTACGAAACGTACACCCATTCCTGATTCCAAATCCTAGGCTCCCCTCGGTTGTCACCTCTTCTGTAGTCTCAAGCCTTTCTAGATTCTTATTCCCAAGTGTCTCTCAGAACCATCCCCTCCTGTCTTCCCTTCTCACTTCTACCTAGTTCTGGTTCTCCTGATTTCTCTGCTGTATTGCGGTTGAATCCTTCTGCCCGGTTTACCTTCCTTCAGTCCTGTCTCTAGTCCTGACCAATCTATAGCCTGCAGGATATTTTTCTTGATTACTGTTCTATCTCTTCCCGTACTTAAGGCTCTGACTTACCAAAGTAAACAAACTACTCATATCTAATTCAAGATCTTCCATAAAAAAGCCCAATCTGTCTTAAAATGTACCTTCGGTTATTATGCTTTATTTGCCCTGTGGTCTAGTTGAACACTTCTTCACGGAAAGGGAACAGCAAGCTTTTGAGCAGTTGTTTGACAGACAACTTGCTCGTTGCTCGTTGAAATAATTGGCTTTTCCTGTTTCCATGCTTTTTCTCACGTTCCTTCTCCTTTTCCCTTTCTGCCTGTCAAAATCCTATTTGTCTTCTAACGGTTCAGCTCAAAAGCATCTTCTTTAGGAAGCTCACCTCCTTTACTGAAGCGTCATCACTTTCTACCTCTTTGTTGATAGTTTATAATCTAATTTGTGTTTTAAATTATTTGTGTAATTGTTTCGTCTTAAAAGTGTGCGTGTTTTTTGAAGGTAAGGGGTTATACATTTGTTTATGTGTGTGCGTCTTAACTGTAGCTGCTTAATGATATTTACTACATTGAATCTAGAACTTCTTTTCCCAGAGGAAAATGTGTGGACTTGTGGTTTTGAAGTAGAGATCTTTGGAAAGGTGAATTATGGATTATCGGGGACCTGGCATCAAACCATCTATTTCTCAGTCCTGAATGCTGTCTAGCACATTGGTGCTAGAAGGCTCTATCTCTTGCCCATTGATGACAGCCTTCAGGAAGTCTGGCACTAGGGCTACATGTCTCACTGTCACTATTTGTGTTGTTTTTAGGAGACCCAAACATGGCAACCATGGAAGAAAGCTTCCCCCGAGGGGGTACGAGAAAGCCCCACAAATCAGACAAGGCTTTCCAGCAGTCAGTTGAACAAGACAACTTATTTGATGTAAGTAGTGTGTTTGGTAAGACTCAGTGAACATTTTCTCCCTAGTGTCCTTGTAAAGAATGAGCCTTGTTTGAGAATGTGTTATTTTCCAGATTTGTTTGTTTCTTTTTTTTTTTTTTGCCAAGGAAGAGTCTCCCTGAGCTAACATCCATGCTAATCTTCCCTTATTTAAAAAAAATTTTTTTTATTGCTTTTTCTCCCCAAATGCCCCCAGTACATAATTGTATATTCTAGTTGTGGGTCCTTCTGGTTGTGGCATGTGGGATGCTGCCTCAGCGTGGCCTGATGAGTGGTCCCATGTCCACGCCCAGGATCTGAACCAGCGAAACCCTGGGCTGCCGAAGTGGAGCGGACAAACTTAACCACTCAGCCACAGGGCCAGCCCCCCTTTATTTTTTAGTATGTGGGCCACCAGCACAGCATGGCCACTAACAGAGGGATGTAGGTCTGCGCCTGGGATCTGAACCTGGGCCACTGAAGCAGAGTGCACTGGGGCTGGCCCCCAGATTTGTTTCTTTCTGAAGTCTACTTTTGTAAATTGACCTTGTTAGAGAGTCCATACCACCACAAAGCTGTATCTTTTGAAATATGGCATTTAGTAGTTAAGTTTGCAATGCTTTTGTTCCTTATTCTTAGGAACTTTGTGCCATGTTGATTAAGGATGGAGAGAAAGCAGTTTGATCATTGAATTTTTGAATGGGGTCCTTGCCATGTATAATGGCCAGAATTTGCAGTCTTTACCTAGAGTAGGCTGTGTTCCAAATGCTAGAGGGAAGAGAACTAATGTTTGATTGTATGGCCTTATGTCTGTTTTATGTAATCTTTCCAGCTATACTATGAAGTAGAGTTTGCCACTCCATGATGAAGAACTAAGGCTCAGAGAGGTTATATAATTTAGATGAAGCCACACAGCTTGTTATGGTGGAGTTGGGAGTTTAACTCAGGTCTCCATGACTCCACCTTCCATTTTTTATGCTCTATTCCAAATTTCTTCTTAGACTGGGGAACCCCAATGCCCATTCCAGTCAAGGGAGGAAGAATACAGGAGAGAAGGGGCTTTTGAGAACATGAGGGAGGCCCCGACTTTGGGGAAAGGGAGCATTGATGGCAGAATGAGAGAGTCGGGATTGAAGCAGGAATTAAAGGAACAGTTGGGAGTGGGGTGGAGTGGAGGAGTAACAAGACAAGGTGACGGATAACCTGAAATTGGAGAGAAAGGCCAGGATTGCTGCTTTTCATTCTTTTGCATCTTTTTTCTCCCTTTAAGATTTCTACTGAACAAGAATCCACCAAAAGGAAAAAGAACCAGAAAGGACCAGCAAAAACAAAGAAGTTGAAAGTTGAAAAGAGAGAAAGCAGCAAGTCTATAAGAGAGAAATTTGATATCCTTAGTATTGAGGTTTGTTGAAGTTTGGTTTTGTTTTAAACAAACTACCCGGGTTGCTTAAGTGTGTATATATTCTTCTTTCCCTCTTTCCTTCCTTCTTTCCTTCATTCCTTTCTTCCTTTGTATATATAGTGTATGTTTGTGTCTATAGAGATTCTTGTAGTTTGTGCTCAGAATTGAGCATTATTTCCTTCAATTATTAAACAGTGCCTGGGATCATGTATTGGTTTTTGGTTTATCTGTTTTTCTTTTTAGCTGCTGAGTCCCCCATCTTGCATGGAACTTATATTTTAGTAGATTCATAGGTTAGAACTGGCAATAACTTTAGCAATCATTCTCATTCTACCCTTTCATCATTGTGGAAAGTATATCTCAGAAAAGTGAAGTGGTTATTATGTTCCTTAAATTTTTATAAAACTCCGATATATGTTATAAAAAGAATAATAGTCAAATGATTCTGAAGGGCAAGATTCAGATTCAGCCTGCAGAAGTGTTTTGTTTGTCCTATATGATACTTTAAAAAGCAGTTGTTTAATTTGGTGCCAACATTAGAAAACTAAAAAATTTCATATAAAAACGTGACTTCTGGCTTCTAGTAAAAATATGAAATTGCCAACTACACAAGCGCGCATTCCCTCGTGTTTGTAGTCCCCTGGAGCTGAGTAGTGGTTGCACCCTTTAGACCTGGCCTACACACTCCAGGTGGCCGTGGGCTCCACTGGCCTGCTTCCTTCATTTTGTTGCCTGCCAGGCATTTGAGTTTGGGTTGCTTGGAATAAGATAAAAGGCAAAAATGCCCTCCAGCACCATAGTGCTGTTAACACTGTTGTATGATTTAGACCTTTTACAGTGCTCAGTCGGATGTTTGATAAGCACACTGACTTATCCACATAGGTATTTCCTGTAGCTTTTGTATGTCCGAGTTGGGACTGAAAGCCAGACCCGCTAACCTCCCCAATCATTGTTCTCTTCCCTGTTGTACACATTTCCCCTTTTTCTCTTCTAGTCCCTGTGTGAGGGGATGCGGATTTTGGGTTGTGTGAAAGAGGTAAATGAACTGGAACTGGTGATTAGTCTCCCCAATGGCCTCCAGGGGTTTGTGCAAGTGACTGAAATCTGTGATGCTTATACCAAAAAGCTGAGTGAGCAAGTGGCGCAAGAAGAACCTCTAAAGGTGAGGGAAATCTGGATGAAACCTGTGACTGGAAATAAATTATTGCTGCACAAATAAATGTATAATTAACAACTGCTAAGTGCTAAGAAAGAAAGGTACAAGGTGCCATGAGAGTTTATAATAGAGGATTTTTTTTGTTTTGTTTTTAAATAAGGGGATTTTGACTTAGTCCAGGGAGTGTGGAAGGCTTCCCTGAGGAAAAGATGCTTGAGCTGCGGTCTGAAGGCTGAGGGTTTACTGTGTAAAGAAGGAAGGGAATCGAGCAGAAGGAGCTCGATACGCAGCAGAGAGAAGGCTACTGTGGCGAGAGCAGAGAGAGCAAGGGAGAGTGTGGTGTGGGATGGGGCTGGAGAGCTGGGTGGAGGCCAGACCATAGTTAGGATTGGTTTTTAATTCTAGAATCAATGGGAAGCTCTTGGAATATTCTCGTTGGGGTGAGTGACATGTAGACAGCATAGAGAAGAGATGGAAGAGGTGTGAGTAGTTGCCTAGAGACCAGTTAGGAGGCTATTGTGGTAGTCCAGGCTTGGAGATGGATGGCAGCTTGGGGTCAGGATTTACTGGGGACTGAGGAGGTAAAGTCAGTGGCTGGTGATGGATTCGATATGGGTGGTGAGGCAGAGAGAAGTGTCAGGAAGGAGTCCTAGGTTTCTGTTGAGCATGACTCGACAGTTGGCCATGCCACCGAGATAGGAAACCTTAAAAGATGTCCTGGGTTGGAAGAGAGGATCGTGATAGGAACTTTTGATATGCTGAGTTTGAGATGCAGTTGAGACATTCGGTAAACAGGTGATTCCAGAGCTCAGGAAAGTCTGGGCTAGAGTCATAAATGTGTGAGACTTCTTTGTGTGGGTGGTAATTGAAGCTATCAAGGGGGAAGAAGTTGCTTAGAGGGAGCAAATAGAGGGAGAAAAGACTAAAAGACTGAGCCTGGAGTAAATACTGTATTTCGATTGCTGAGTAGAAGGAGAGTTGCTGTCAGAAGAAGCAGGAGCGGCCAGAGAGAGAGAGAAGACAACCAGGAAATGAAGGGGCTTGGAAACCAGGGAGAAAATGTTTAAAGAAGGCAGGAGTGATCACCAGTGTTAAACGCTTTTTAAAGGTGGCCTACGAGAAAGACTGCAAAATGGGCTGGGTTTAGCGACGTGGGAATCACTGGTGATTTTCTTGGGAGAGAAAGTGGTGGGGTGAGAGAGGTGGGCCACAGATGCAGTGAGCTGAAGAGCAAGTAGGAGATGAAGAAGTGGAGACAGTGAATACAGACAGCTCTTCTGACAAGTCATTTTACATCTGCCCATTGTGTGGAGGTATTTGGAGGCCTTCTGCTGAGATTCAAGACTGTGACTCGGCCACAGACCCTTCTTCCTCTGTGGGCAAGTGGTTACTCTCTTCATCCGCCTTTTGGGTTCTTTAAGGTCTGAGGATGAAAAACCACTGAGCCAGATGTGAGCAGTGGATTCTTGCTTCAAGGGAGGGGTATGTATCACATCTTTCTCGTTTGTATTATGCAGGACCTGGCCCGCTTGCCTGAACTCTTCTCGCCTGGGATGCTGGTGAGATGTGTGGTGAGCAGTCTGAGCGTCACAGAGAAGGGCAAAAAGAATGTCAAGCTATCTCTGAACCCCAAAAATGTCAACGAAGTATTGAGTGCTGAGGCCCTGAAGCCAGGCATGGTACGGATCTGGGCTCAGGGAAGAGGAGTAGACGATGTGCCTTCCCCCTGCCCTGCCTCCTGGGGAGTGTCTAGACCGCCTTTCCTTCAGCTTAACTGTTACACATGGGCGTGGGTCTTTTCCTGGGAAGTCTCCAGGATGCTTTGGGTACTTAATGGAAATTGAAGACTTGAACCTAATCACGTTACCTGGGAGGGGAGGAAGTCCAAAATTTACTAGTGGCAAAAAAAGTGACTCTAAGCATCCTTATCAGAGGATTTACTACTGCTGAGAAGAAGTTCCTGGAAGTGCCTTACTTACCAAGACTTCTTCACAGATGAAGTCTTTTTCAAGGGCCATCTGGCATTTGTGGGGAATGCTTGAGGGCTGCTCTCTGGAGCAAGAGACAGGGTAGACAGGGCAGTTAGTCTGTCAGCTGCATTAGTGGCTGGCCCGCTCCTGAGTCTCCCAGTCCTGTGACCTAGCTCAGAGCCTGCAAGTCCAGTAGGTACAAAACAGTAAGCTACACTCATATAAGCGCTCTTGTAAATTAAGGGAAGGAGAGCAATATGATCTTGTAAACGTTCAGTTAGAAGTGGTGGAGTTTGAGACAGGCCCTGGAAGTTGTGTAGAAATGGGAGTAGAAGTAAACCAAATTGTAGGAAGTCGACAGGTGTTGAGAGCCTGCTGTATGACAGGTGCTGTTTTACACACGTCGTCTGAGGAAATTCTCACAGCAGCCCTGTGAGGCAGATAGATATCACTGTTGGTATGTTTGAGAAAATGCACTCAGAAACGTTTAAATGACTTGCCAAGGATCAAATAGCTAGTAAGCGTCAGAGCCAGATTTGAATGCCGCACTGCTTCCCATGAAATCTAAAGGAGGTTGGCAAGATTATTTTTTGATGTCTTGGAGGTCTTAGAAAAGACATGATGACAGCTAGAGGGGTAGTTCTGGATTCTCACTAGTCATGGTGCTGGGGGATGACCTTGCGGGGCCATCTGGTTTCTCTCTCTTTGAGTAACATAAAGGTCTTTCCTATCTTCTGAAAATTCTCCAGGGGAGAGACCTCTCTGTCATTCGTTATTCAACTGTGTACGACACTCCTCACTGTCTGGAAACCATAAGATCCTTCAAACTCTGGGAGAATTCAAGTTAATATCTTTCCCTTTTCTATCTTCTAGTGGGATTGAGGTTTAAAGTGAAAATTGAGGGGAGTCGGGTAGGATTATGGGATGATGTTGAGATTGATGGTGGCGGCATTCTCCTTTGGTTGTGCATGTTTGCTGTGTGTCCCGTTACCTCGACTTTTGAACTTTTTGGAATGCTTTCTCTTCCTTCAGCTGCTCACAGGCACCGTGTCCAGCCTAGAAGACCATGGCTATCTAGTGGACATTGGTGTTGCTGGGGCCAGAGCTTTTCTGCCACTGCAGAAAGCGCAGGAGTATATCCGGCAGAACAAAGGTGAGGGGAGGAAGAGGGGCCAGTGCGTGATAGTGAGGTGGTGTATATGGAGATTATATATAAATGCCACTTTGGTGAGTAAAATGACTGACTGGTGAGCCCGAGGCTGTTTGGTTTTGCTAAAATGAGTGGTTAATACAGCTGATAGAAAAGGGAAGATGTATGAAGGGCCAGGGTATCTCTCACCAAGATCTGATGGATCAGTTTCACTTTTTCTCACCTAGAAGATTCTACTGAAATTTGGGCCCCCAGGGCCTCTGAACCAGCATTCTCTTGCCTCACTGAGATTTTCATATTTTTGTGGGGGAATTGATTCTAGATCAGTTAGGGGCACTTCCCTCCCTTCTTGTAGTTGGTCCCTTAGAGATTAGGAATGTGGGGAGTATTATGTGGTAGCTGGGCAGGTCGCCATGCATCCTTTCAGGTGTTGCTTGAGCCCACGTTAAAGGTCCTTCTCATGGAGGTATTTTTCCTTTTTGGGGCTGGGCTTGCAGGTGCTAAACTGAAGGTGGGCCAGTACCTGAACTGCATCATTGAAGAGGTAAAAGGCAGCGGAGGAGTTGTTAGTCTGTCTATTGGTCATTCAGAAGTTTCTACTGCCATTGCTACTGAGGAGCATAACTGGACCCTTAATAACTTGCTGCCAGGGCTGGTAGTTAAAGCCCAGGTACAGAAGGTAAGCCATTCATTGTTACTACTGTTTTCTAAAATAACAGTACTTCTTATTGAAGTAGTACCTGCACACAGTCTAAAATTGTGCCATCTAGTAAGGTAGCCACTGGTCACATGTGGCCATTGAGCGCTTGAAATGTAGCCAGTACCACATATTGAAATGGTCATACGTTGGATATACTGATAGACAACATTTCACGTGTGTTGTCATAACTTGTTGCTGGAGGAGTTACTTTGTGACTCCACTGGGAGAGAACTCTTGTAAGCTTGCACTTGGTTTCTTTCGGACTGTTAAATAAACTATTAAAATAAATTTCACCTGTTTCTTTGTAGTTTTTAAAATGTGACTGCTAGAAAATTGCATGTGTGGCTTAGATTTCTGTTGGACAGATCTTCTCTAAAAGATCAAATAGTATTAGAAGACTTTTAATGAAGAACTGTTTCATCCCCCCAACCCCCATCTTTAACTCTGTTAGTTTATCTTTTGAAATTTACCTCTGTATTTCTAAGTAATTAGCCTCTGCTGTCGTCTCTTGGTTTATCAGTTGTAGGCATTGAGTTGTAACTTCTTATCACGGTAGATAAGACTTGGCTCTCTTGATTTTCCCTTCCCTTCCCCAACCTCCCAGCAGTGGCATATTAAAACTTTGATTAAATCAGTATTCAGTATTTAAATTAGGATGACTGTGTACATATTGTGCACTGTTGAGCTAGGTAATATAATATGACTTTCTTGAATAGCTTTTTTTCTCTGTTGTTGATAATCAGCTTTGTTTTAGTCATTTACCAAAATGTATTCCTGCTTATCAGTATTTCTTCACACATCCTGTAGTTATTTTCCTCTCACTACAATTTTCCGTGTTTTCAAACCCTTTAAATAGTCTCTTAGTTACTTTTTTTTCCGACCTGGAGTCCTTTTTACTGTCCTCCTGCTCCAGCCTGGACTGGTTGCTCTGTAGAGCTCCTGCAGAGCTGGTGTGCTGGGACTTCCCTTCTGTGTTATCCTGGATCCTTCGCCACTCTCTTGTACTGGAGCCTTCTTTGATTCCATGTATTTCTCTTCTTTAATTTGCTCCCTCATTTTAATGTGGCACATTCTTCAGAAGCATCCTCAGAAAGGTACGTGGGAGGTTAATTGCTTGACCTAGTGTGTTGGGGATCCCCAAGACCACTCCCAGGTTGGATGATTCACTAGGAAGACTCACAGGACCCAGCATAGTGGTACTGACAGCTGTGATTGATTGCAGTGAAAGGAGGCAAAGCAAAATCAGCAAAAGGAAAGCCCCATGGAGTGAAGCCCAGAAGAAACGAGGCACAAGCCTCTGAGAGTTCTCTCCCAGCAGAGTCACAAAGGGTGTACTTAATTCCTCCAGCAACAAGTTATGACAACACATGTGAAATGTTGTCTGCAAGGAAGCTCATTAGAAACTCTGCCTGGGGGTTTTTATTGGGGCTGGTCACGTAGGCACCCTCTGCCTGGCATCTACCAAAATCCAGACTCTCAGAAGGAGAGTGAGTGTTTAACATAAGACAGATTGTTTGCACAAACAGGTTAAGTACAGTGAGCTGCTCAGTTCTGGGAGTGTTGGGAACGGAATCTAAGTTCCCACCCACCAGCCGAGGGCCAACCTCGCAAGCAGGCTTTTCTAAGGAGCTCAGTCTCCCGTTGGCTATGTTAACTCTTTTCTGCATACCTACTATGTCTGAAAACGTCTTTGTTCTACTCTTACGTGTGGTTGGTAATTAGGCTGGGTTTAGAATTCTAGGGCAAAGGTAACTCGGAGTTTTGAAGTCTGTATTCCCATTGTCACTGGCCTCTGTTTGTGTTGAAAAGTCTGATTTTATTTTGATTCCTCCTCTTTGTATATGTTTTTTCTTTTTGGAAGAGTTCAAGGAGCTTGTCTTTATCCTTTTTACTTTAAAATTCCATGATGATGTGCTTCACTCTGGCTCTCTCTCCATTTATTTGTGCTAGACTCCTGCAATCCAGAAATGCAGATCCTTCAGTTCTGAGAAAGTTTCTTGTGTTGTTGTTCTTTTTCTCAATTTTTAAATTGAGATATAATTCATATATAGTTGTAGTAAGATTCACCGTTTTGAAGTGTATCGTTCAGTGGTTTTTTTAGTGTATTCACAAAGGTGTGTAAGCCATTACCACTATTTAATTCCAGAAGATTTTCATCACCCCAGTAAGAAAACCTGAAACCACTGGTGGTCACTCTCCACTCCTCCCTCCCTCTAGCTCCTGGCAACCACTGATGTACTTTTTTGTCTCTAGGTTTGCCTAGTCTGGATATTTCCTATAAATGGAATCATGCAATATGTGGTCTTTTGTGTCTGGTTATGTGACTGAGCATGTTTTCAAGGTTCATCCATGTTGTGGCATGTGTCAATGATTTATTCCTTTTTATGGCTGAATGATATTCCATCACATGGATATAGCACATTTTGTTTGTCCATTCATCAGTTGGTGGACATTTGGGTTGTTCCTACTTTTGGCTTTTGTGACTAATGCTGCTATGGAATCCATGTGTACGTTTTTGTGTGGACATGTGCTTTCATTCCTGTTGGGTGTAGACCTAGGAATGGAACTGCTGGGTTACATAGTAACTCTACATTTAACTTTCTGGGGAACAGCCAAAGTGTCTGCACTGTTTCGCATTCCCACCCGCAATGTAAGGGGTCTAATTTCTCTACATTCTCACAAACACTTGTTCTTGTCCTTCTTTTATTATAACCATCCTAGTGGGTGGGAAGTAGTACCTCATTGTGATTTTGATTTGCATTTCTCTAATGATTAGTTATGTTGAGCATCTTTGCGTGGGCTTATTGGCCATTTGTGTATATTCTTTGGAGAAATATTTATTCAAAAGTCTTTTGCTCATTTTAAAATTAGGTTGTCTTTTTATCGTTAAGTTGTAAGAGTTCTTTATATTTTCTGGATCCTAGCCCCTTATCAGATCTTGTTTTTGTTTGTTTTAAAGTATAATTTCCTCTTCTTTTTCTGTAATTCCTGTTAATATGATGTTAGACTTCATGGATTAATTCTCTAATTTTCTTATCTTTTCCTCTATTCTTATCTTTGTTTTGATATATGCATGCATTTGTCTATATCCTACCTTCTGGGAATCTCTCAACTTTAACTTCCCATTCTCTGTTGAATTTTAGTTTTGACTGTCGTACTATGAGTGAGGCACTGAAAAACTCCTAGGAAGTCTGCGTGCCTCGGTGGGACTTGCTGACTGGCTGACTTCACTGTCAGGATCTGGAGCTAGCAGACTTTCTCTGGGCAACCTCCAAATATCATTGTTAGAAGTCTCCTCTGGCATATTAGATTTCTCTAGAAAGGATCTACTGACTTCCACCCAGGAGGGTATAAATAAGCCTGACTGCCTGAGACCAGGTGGGAGAAAGGGGCTGGATGTCTCCGTGTCTATATCCATACGACATTCAGAATTTTTCTTTTTTTTTTTTTTTTTTTTAAAGATTGGCACCTGAGCTAACAACTATTGCCAATCTTTTTTTTCCCCCCTCCTGTTTTATGTCCCCAACCCCCCCAGTACATGGTTGTATATCTTAGTTGCAGGTCCTTCTAGTTGTGGGATGTGGGATGCCACCTCACCGTGGCCTGAGGAGCAAGGCCATGTCTGCACCCAGGATCCGAACCCTGGGCCGCCACAGTGGAGCGTGCGAACTTAACCACTCGGCCACGGAGCCGGCCCCCAGAATTTTTCTTAATCCACATTTTCAGTGTTTGCACTCTTGCTGTGTTTTGAGTCTGGTACCATTTTCCTGGGGAATAACTCTCCCATTGCGTGTGGAGATAGGAGAGGGGTGGATCTATAAGGTGAGAAGAGGACCTTGGGATCTGACCTAGTTTCCCTGATTTCAGTCATCTACCTCATTGCTCTCTTTTGAGGTGCTTCTCATCTCTAATTCCTTGGCTTTTGGGGTCTCTGCAGGGTGAACTGGCCCGCTCATGGTCAGTATCTCCCTTTTGCAAGCACTTGGATTTTACCTTCTTAGTCTGGGCAAATCACCAAGTTAGCAATAATTTGTATAAGTTATCAGGCTGGCAGTTCCCCGAGGATCCTTGTACAAAGCGCCCTCCATCCCTTTGGGAAGTCCTGAGGGTGGGAGGGCTGATGTCCTGTCGATCTGGAAGGGGGTGAGCTTACTGAATAAAGAAGCAGGCAGTGCCAGGAGTTGTTCTGCCACTTAATTTTATAGGAAGAAAGATTGATATAGTTCAGCTGGGGGAAGAGAGAGACGGTTATCATGGAAAATGTGGCACTGAGTATGAACAGCATCTCTCACATTCTTGATTCCTTCAGACATATGTTTTTCATAACTTGTTCTGTTTATTTCTAGGTGACTCCGCTTGGCCTTACGCTAAACTTCCTCTCATTCTTCACTGGCCTGGTTGACTTTATGCACCTGGATCCCAAGAAAGCTGGAAAATATTTCTCAAATCAAGCAGTAAGAAATGTTGCTCCTGTCTTTTCTTTTCTTGATTCCAGTGTGTCCCAATCCAGTAAGACAGCTAGCTACAGGGCAGGTCCTAGGGCTGCCTGTGGACAAGTGTCAGAGAGGAGGTGAGGGCAATAAGAAGTGTTTTGGAAGGACCTCAAGAAACTACCAGTGGTTAAAGAAGAAGCCCGTGGAGGAGAAGGCAACGTTTAGTTTTTATTTCATATTCTTTTATATAGTTTGATTTCCTTTTTTGATAGTGAATCTTTTGCTTTTATAGTTTAAAGTGATGTATTTTTTTATTTTTTAATTTTGTCTAAAGATTGGCCGTGAGCTAACATCTGTTGCCAATCTTTTTCTTTTTCTTTTTCTTCTTCTCCCCAAAGCCCCTCAGTGCATAGTTGTATCTTCTAGTTGTAGGTCCTTCTGGTTCTGCTGTGTGGGACGCCAGCTGAGCATGGCTTGATGAGTGGTGCTAATTCCATGCCCAGGATCCAAACCAGCAAAACCCTGGGCTGCCAAAGCAGAGCACGTGAACTTAACCACTCAGCCATGGGGCTGGCTCTAAAGTGATTTAGAAGAATATTTAACATAAGAGAACTACATATATGTTTAAATAGGAAAATGTGGTTTAAAAAGTGGTGTGAGTAATATAGATCCAATTTTGAAAAAAAACTTTAAAAAGAGTACACCTGGTTAAGATACTGGAAGATTATGCCATCAAGTTAATAGTGATTTAACTCTGGGTGATTTTTCTACCCTTATCTAATATTCAAATTTTCTACAATGAATATGGATTTTGGGAAGAAAATCCCAATATATGTTATTCAGAATTTTTAAAAAATCCTGATATGATTTTTTTTTCTGTTCGTTTTTGTTTTTAACAGTAATGCATGCTAATGGAAGCTATAGAGACTTTTTTTTAAAGTAAAAATAAGGTTTTTCACCACCTAGTGATAATATTATTAACATTTTGGTAAATCTCTTTCTAGTCATTTTTTTCTCTCTGTAGTTGTATTTGCAGAACTGAGACATTTTACATGCTTTAACCTTGCAGTCAGAGCAGGCTGTTCTGGTGTTTCCAATGAGCTCTGATGTAGTGGTGCCAGTACATGGTTTCTGTTGCATATGAGTTAGCCTCATGGTGTTGAGGGGACGCTGGTATATTTTTCCTGGCCTTGAGTAAGCTTTGATTTAGTTGGACATAGTCCCTCTGGAACACTTTGTTTGAATTTTTGCATGCTGTTTGCACAAGCCGGTTTTCGTGCTTATGTCCACAACCTGGTCAGCACATGGCGAGTCTTAACCTCAGAAAGTCTGCTGCAGGTGCCTTGTCTCCTGTCTGCCTCCTCCTGCTCATTTTGCCTTTTCCCTTGTCTAGGTGCGGGCCTGTGTCCTCTGTGTCCATCCTCGGACCAGAGCTGTGCGGCTGAGCCTGCGTCCCGTCTTCCTGCAGCCTGGGCGCCCCCTCACCCGGCTCTCTTGCCAGCATCTGGGAGCTGTGCTGGATAACGTTCCTGTCCAGGGCTTTTTCAGCAAGGCCGGGGCCACCTTTAGGCTGAAGGATGGGGCTCTGGCCTATGCCCGGGTAAGGAGGCTCTTTGTTTTGTCAGGGATCTTATCACTAGAAGCTTTTGGGACTCATGGGTCCTCTTCTGCTTTCTTCATCCCTTGGTATCAGTTTCCTATTTCTGAATATCCCCAAGTGAGGCAGACTGTTCACAGGGACTAGAACAGTGTCTATTTGTTATGTTAGGATGTCTTAGAATCAGTTTGACATGTTTGATAACTAGTCAATAGTAGGTACAAGAATGAATTAGGATCTACACCAGGGCTTGGCAAAGCTTTTCTTTTCTTTCTTTCTTTTTTTTTTTGGCTGAGGAAGATTTTCCCTGAGCTAACATCTGCTTCCAGTCTTCCTCTTTTTGTATGTGAGCTGCTGCCACTGCGTCACCACCGACACGAGTGATGTAGGTCAGCACCCAGGAACCAAACCTGGGCCACCTAAGTGGACTGTGCCAAACTTAACCACTAGGCCCCCAAGGCTGGCCCAGCAAAGCTTTTCTTAAAGGGCTGGATGGTACATATTTTAGACCTCTGGGCTATACAGTCTCTGTCCTAACTACTCAACTCTGTTGTTACAGCCTGAAAGTAGCCATAGACAGTATGTGAATGAACGGGCATTGGTGCGCTCCAGTACAGCTTTTACAGCCATGCGTCGTTTAGCAACAGGGATATTTCTGAGAAATGCGTTGTTAGGCAATTTTGTTGTTCTGTGAACATCATAAAATGTACTGAAGGGGAACAAAATTTGTCACCCCAAAATGTATCTCTTTAACATGAAGATTATTTTAGGCTGATTATTTTTAGGAAACAAAAGACTCAGGAAGTTTTTCTTATTACCTTTCCTTAATGCCTTAAAAGAATTCAGATAAAAAATTCTGCCTCAGTTAGGGGTTACCAGAGGAGAAGGAGGTTGGGGGTGGGCATAAAGGGTAAAGGGGCACATATATATATGGCGACTAACAAATAATGTACAACTGAAATTTCACAATGTTATAAACTATTATGACCTCAATAAAATAAAATTTTAAAAAATTCTTAAAAAAAAAATTCCTGTCTCAAGAAGCAGGCTATCACCTTAGCATGACATGAACTAGATGGTAGACAGGGAGGAACCTAGAACAGCATATTTGTTTGGCTCCCCTCTGTGTTCTGTTTCTGTGTGGCCAAACACTTGTTTTTCACACATGTGCTCCTTTTTACCTACCTCTGATTTGCCTGCCTTTCCTTTGAAGTCTCTGACTCTCCCCACTGCCAATATGTTCTTTTGTCTTTAGGTGAGGATGGTATTTGAGATGAAGGCTTCCGCCATTTTGGCGAGTTACTTGGTTTTTCTGAGTTTCTCCCATGTATGCATGTTATTCAACTTCTCTTTTTCTTCTGTTAATCTGTCTCATGTCAATTTAATTCTTAGATCAGCCAGAAGAACCTAGAAGGGTAGAAGAAAATATCTTCCTTCCCTACAGTACCCAAACCTAGATGATATAGCCTCCTACACACCTAGGCTACATGGTACTAATCTTATGGGACCACCGTCATATACGCTGTCTGTCATTGACCAAAACATCATTACGCAGTGCATGACGGTATTTGCAGAAATAGGCACTGACTTGTGAGCTTTAATTTACTGACCCATGATCTAGAGTATCCTCTGACCTTATGGAGATTCTATGATAGTAAACACCAGTTTTTTAGTTAGAGGAATAACAGGTAATCAGAGTACTGTTTTTATCATAGGTGATAAATGTGTTGTGTCATCTTGGTGTACTTTGATGTCTGATTGCCTCAGATCTGTTGTCTCTTGCTTGTCCTTAATCACTTGGTACTTCGTAGCTCAGCCATCTCTCCGATCCTAAGAATGTCTTCAATCCTGAGACCTTCAAGCCAGGGAACACTCACAAGTGTAGAATCATCGACTACAGCCAAATGGATGAACTGGCTTTGCTGTCTCTGCGGACGTAAGTCTGTCATTAACACGTGTGGGCTGTAGAGCTGTGCTGCTGGGCAGGTGCAAATTCACACTTTCTCCTGGCCTGGCCCTGGGAGGGTGTCGTTTCTTGCCAACGTGATTGCAGTAGCCCTGAATTTTAGGCAGCCTCTATCCTACTGCATTTAATCTTGTATTTTTCTTTTGTTTTAGGTCTGTTATTGAAGCTCAGTATCTTAGATATCATGACATTAAACCTGGGGCATTGGTAAAGGTAAGGCCTCAAACATATAGTTAGTTACCCTCCCAACTTCAGACATTCTTTAGTTCACAGGTTAACGGTCAGCTTGTTAGTCCTCGTGTGAGCACATTTAAAGTCATGTTCCTTGTCTCTGCCTGCTAACTGGAATTTCTTTTTCTTCCCTTGGATAATTTGTAATTAATTTTAAGGGAAGGTCTTACTCGCACCACCCAACAACACAGAGGCAGTAGGTCATAACTCCTGGGATTTGATGGTGTTTTTTTAGACCAGGTCAAAAATTAGTTCTGTGATAATTGAGCTACCAAGGATATTAGTAAGAAGCCAGTTCCAGTGGCCTCTCCAGGCCAATCATTTAGCCCTAGTTGAGCAGCTCCTCTTTATATGCAGAGTTCATTCCTTAGAAGACATAGTCCCTTCCTTTGGAGAAGGTACTGGTAAGGGAGACAAGACATGCTCACACAAAAAGAGGTGAAGGTTGCCATAAATAAACCCAATTGCATCCAGATCAGTGTAGGGTATGTGCTTTACCCCTGTGAGATCTGGAATAACTGGCACAGTTAGCCCAGGAAGCTGGGCTTTGAAAGAGGGGTGACGTGCTTTGTTTTAAGAGCTGGAGGAAAGAGCATGCTTGAGTCATCATGCCATCTTTTCTTTGGACTCACCAGGGCACGGTACTGACCATAAAGCCATATGGGATGCTGGTGAAGGTGGGTGAGCAAATCAGGGGCCTGGTACCTCCCATGCACCTGGCTGACATCCTGATGAAGAATCCAGAGAAGAAGTACCGCACTGGGGATGAGGTCAAGTGTCGGGTGAGCCTCCTGAAGGGTCTCTGGTGGGTTTTTGACCACATGGGAAGAGAGTAGTGCTTCTCAGCTGAAGTTTCTGCCTTTTTCCACTAAATGACCTTAACATCTGCAGTGCTGTGCCTGGCATTGGGAGGAGGAAGCTGAGTCCCTGCTCTTGAGAATTATGTAGTATAATTGAGAATTAAAATATCCATAATGAAGAGAGCCAGGCCAGTGTGTGACCTTTTGCCACATGGTTTGGTGCAGGCTCCATGCTGTAGTCATACCTCAGAAAGGGGAGGTGAGGGTGGGCTGGGGCAGAAAGGATCACTGATGATATATATCAATGGCAACTATCGTGTAATGTGTGCTCTGTGCCAGTTACAGTGCTAGGCATGGGACGTGCATTATTTTATTTAATTCATAAGACGGCCTTATAGAGTAAGAACAGTTGTCCTCATTTTTCAGGTGGGGAAATTAAAGCTTAGGGAAGCCAAGTATCTTGCCTGAAGTCACACAGCTAATAAATGGCAGAACCAGTTTTCAAATCAGCTCTATATGACAATGATGTCTTCTTGATTTCTGGCAGCGGTGGGACTTGAACTAGAAAGGATGGGTAGGATTTGGAAGGTTGAGGAGGAGTAAAGGGTGTGCCAGGCACAGAAATAACCCAGACAAAGCTTCCAGAACTTGAGTGGTTTATAGCAAAGGCTTGAATCCCAAGAGAAGCTTCGTAGTTGTGAAGATTAAGTGTGATAATACACAGTGCTTAGCATAGGGCATAGTGTGTGTAGGCATTCAGAATGTTAGATTTTCTTATTGTCGTTTTATCTCATTACTATTGAGTCAACAAAGATATTGATTATCCCTTTGTGCAAAATTTTATAGTAGTGCGGTCAGGAGGTTAGAAATGGAGGGATTTCTCTGCCCTCAAGGAGATGACCTCCTGAGGGATGAGAGATGGTTGGCTCTCTCAGTCTTAGTTTGTAGCTAATATTCAGCAGTATTGAGGGGGTAAATTGGTTTAGTCATTCATTCTGTTGGACGAGATGCAGGTGGTCTAGGAGGGAGCTAAGGCAGCGTAGAAGTGAGATAATGAGTGTCACTGCAGGCCCGGGGGGGTGATTTATGGGAGGAAGTAGATTTGAAATAGAGGTGAGCACTCTCTAGATTGTCATCCAGCAGGATGCAGGGAGGATCTGTGGCTGAAATTATTCTCAGAGGGAAGAGCAGGTTCTTAGAGACTATGGCCCCTGGGTTAGGGGGCTGTGGAGACTACCAGCTAGTGGCTCTCTTGGTAATGGTGACTTGATGACAGCCAGTATCCTTTCCCTAGGTTCTGCTTTGTGACCCTGAAGCCAGGAAGCTGATGATGACCCTGAAGAAAACCCTGGTTGAGTCCAAACTACCTGCCATTACCTGCTATGCTGATGCCAAGCCTGGTCTGCAGACACACGGCTTTATCCTCAGGGTCAAGGACTATGGCTGCATTGTGAAGTTCTACAATGATGTGCAGGGACTAGTGCCCAAGCATGAGCTCAGTGCCGAGTATGTCCCTGACCCAGAGAGGGTCTTTTACGCTGGCCAGGTAACCCTTTCCGTGGACAAGCTCCTACCCTTAGTGACCCCATGAACACAGATTTGAAGTAGTAGGAGGGCTACTGTTTAAGGGATAAGGAAGACAGCATGTGGGGCAGTGGGCCTGAGCCAGCTAAGCAGAGGAGATGGGAACAGAGTAGAGAGAAATCCTCAAGGGGGTTCAACGGAAGCCAGTAAGCTAATGAACCTCAGGCCCACAACCTGAAAGCAGTCTTTACCTATAATACGCTGGTGTCCGACACATCAGAAAGTGTTCTGGGGCCACTGTCACCACAAGGGGGCACTGCCATAAAACTGGTGAGCCTGGGTCTGTCTAGGAAAAATAATTTTTTAAAACTTGGGTTTATACCAAAAACATTCATTCATGTCTTCCTTTCACCCAAAAGGCTGACTTGTGGGGATTGTGTGCAGCTCGTGGTACGTTTCTTTTCACTGCCTTCTGGTCTGATCCAGGGTCTTGGTGGAGCTCCCAAGGCCTCCGCAGTGCTCATGGAGGGCCCCTCTCTGCAGGGCCTGACGGGCCTGCTGGGAGGAGTTAGCCAGGCAGGCATGGTTTCTCACCAGGTGGTGAAGGTGGTGGTGCTGAACTGTGAGCCGTCCAAGGAGAGGATGCTGTTGTCCTTCAAGCTGTTGAGTGATTCAAAGAAAGAGTGTGCTGGACACAATCAGAAGAAAAGAAGAGCTGTTAATGTTGGGCAGGTACCTGGACTTCTCCAGACAAGTTATTTTAGTTTACAGTGGCAGAGAGCAGGGTGCTACTGACACATGGGGTCCTGGAACCCGTGGAGGGGAAAGATCAAGGTAGCTAGCAAAGATTCTGGGACTGGAGAGTATTGAGTTTCTTGAGAGATGATGTCATATATGTTCTTTCCTATGTGTCAGAACCAATGGAAGTTGTCTAGGAAAGGAAAGTTCTGTTGTGGTATGGCTTTTCGGCAGTATCCTGCTGCCCTCTTTCCTCTCTGGTCCCTAGGGCCAGCCTGCAAGACTGTCTTTCCTCTGGGACCCAGTGGAGGGACTTGGGAGAGGAGTGACGTGAGCGCACAGATGGGTCCTGGTGTGGCGCGGGTGTGCATGCATGTTGGGTCCTTGAAGGGTGGTGTGGGGTGTGGAAGAAAGCTGCTTCTCTGATCTTGACCTCTCAGTCATCCCTGGTGCTGGAATTTGATGCCTCTGGTCTCCACCTGACCCAGATGAGGTTGCTTTCTGCTCAACACAAGTGCTATTTTTTGTCTTTCTCTTTTCTGGGTAGTTGGTGGACGTGAAGGTGTTAGAGAAGACCAAAGATGGGCTGGAGGTGGCTGTCCTGCCCCACAACATTCCTGCTTTTCTCCCCACACCTCATCTGTCAGACCATGTTGCCAACGGCCCACTGTTGTATCACTGGCTCCAGGCTGGCGACACCCTGCACAGAGTCCTGTGTCTGAGCCAGAGTGAGAGACATGTTGTATCCTTTACTGGTATCTGGGGAGCTGTGGGCCCTGGCGGCTCAGGCTCTGCTCTTAGTTGGAAACTCCATGGGAAAAAGTCAGCTATTTGACTTCGGAAATACCTCCATAAAACCGAACCAGTGGCCAAGCCTGCACTTTCCATCTATTCTTCTGGTGGAAAGTAGGAACAGGATTGAAGTGCTGCCAGCAGATACTGGTGGTAAGGGCAGAGTGGGAGTCCAGGGTATTGGGGAGGCGGCAGTGTGGCCTGCCAGGCCCAGGAGGATATTCCCAGTAGCACGTCTAGCCTTCTTGCACTCAGTGCTTGCCCCTTGAGCTGGAACAGTGAATAAGGTAGCTGTGGTCCTCCTCCTTTCTTTCCCCTTTTTCTCCCTTCCACCCCACTCCCCCCGCCAGGGGTTGGTTACTTTGAAGATGGGGACAGTGGAGGGTTGTGTCATGGCAGATCCAGCTGCCAAGCCACAGGGATGAACCGTTCCCTGTTTGGTTCCCTCCAGTAATCCTGGAGATGAATTAATAAGGAAAGGAATAAAACAGTGGTTCTCAAACTTACGTGTGCATCAGAATCACCTTCAGGGCTTATTCAAACACAGCTTGCTGGGCCCACCCCAGAGTTTCTAATTTCAGTAGGTCTGGGCGTGGTGCTCAAGAATTTGCATTTCTGACAAGATCCAAGTGATGCTGCTGCTGCTGATCTGCACACTTAGAGAATCCTGCAGGAGATGGTGGAGAGTGGAGAAAGGAGATGGGAGAGATGGACATTTCCTCAGTCCTTTCTGGGACATTCCTTAATGAGGTGCCACTAGCTCCTTTGCAGGAAACCAGCTTTGGTCTCCACAGTAGAAGGTGGCCAGGATCCCAAGAGCTTCTCAGAAATCCATCCTGGAATGCTGCTCATCGGTTTTGTGAAGAGCATCAAGGACTATGGTGTGTTCGTCCAGTTCCCCTCAGGTCTTAGTGGACTGGCCCCCAAAGCTGTAAGTTCAGCTCCATGCACAAAGGCCTTTGAGGAGACAACAGAGTCGGGGAACCTGAGGGTGGTGGGAAAGAGCAGGATGCTTTGATCCTTGAACATTTGTCAGGGGCGTGATATAGGAGCTGAGATTCAGTCCTTGTTCCTCTTGCCCAGTCCTGTGTCCTGGCTCAGGGCTGTGTCCTCCTGGAGAAAGGGGCACCTTTTCTACTTCATTCTACAACATTGGGTAGGCAGCTGGTGACCAAGAAGGCTTTATTCTCCACTGTGGTGATACTGAGCTTGTTTTTTGTACTCAGCATGTTTAGACATGGAAATTGATTTTCCCGAGCAGCTGTGTACAGGTTTTGTAGCTCTTGGAATTTTTGAGGTTTTAAGGTGCCAGAATACCCTTCAAATTATTACCTCCCCCGTCCATGTCATTGAATCATAACTTTTGGACTAGAAAAGATCCTAGCAATTGCATAGTTGAACCCTCTCTTATGCCTGCTGAGTAAACTGAGACTCAGAGTGGGGAGGAATCTTACCAAAGTCAGTGTAAGACAGTGGTCCGCAAATGGCTTCTCTCTCATTCCTGCCACAGATAAGTCCTAAATGTTTCTTCCTTTTCAGAGGGCTGTCTCCCTGATGTTTTGCCTGGGCAGATCTCATTTACGTCTCCTGCCAGAACAATTTTGAAAATGGGAACAGCGGGGAGGACCTCAGAAAAATGCGTAGTGAGGATTGCCATTCGGTGTCAAAGACATGGACAGTGAGGTGTCCCTCTGGCTTGCCATTAATGTGCCTTCTCGGCTACGTGCCCTCTAGAAGGCTGGATTGGGCAGCCAGGGCCTCTCCTATATTTTTATGGAAGGAGAGTAGAGTTTTACTTAGGACTGGGGGGAACTTCCTGGGTCCCATCTTCCCCCTCCCACACTCTATTTTGGGTGCATTAAGTGGGTTGTCTTAATAGGAACTTCCTTTGCTTTCTCCATTTTCTGCCCATTCTTCCCGTCAGATCATGAGTGACAAGTTTGTGACCTCCACAAGTGACCACTTTGTCGAGGGGCAGACAGTGGTTGCGAAGGTGACCAACGTGGACGAGGAGAAGCAGCGGATGCTCCTGTCACTGCGGCTCTCGGACTGCACCCTGGGGGACCTGGCTACCACCAGCCTCCTCCTCCTGAGCCAGTGCCTAGAGGAGCGGCAGGGTGTGCGCAGCCTCATGAGCAACCGAGGTGGGGGCAGGAGGGCAGAGGATGAGGGTTGGGTGGAGAGTGTGTGTTTTAAGTAATGCCTTTCTGTTCTGATGAGTTGTTGGGCTTCCCAGAATTAAAAAAAAAAAAAAAATTGGTAAACTTTTTAATGGGAGTATGACCTGCAGAAGGTACGCAAATCATTAAGTGTACAGCTCAGTAAATGTTTATAAAATGAACGCCCTTGTTTAACTACCACCCAGATTCAGGTAAAGATCATTACCAGCATCCCAGACCCCTCTGTGCTCCCTCCCAGTCCAGAATCATAATTTCCCTTTGTTCTGTGGCCTCAGGTTTGCATTTGTTGTGGAATTTATTCACTGCTTCGCTTTTGTTTTTTCATTCAGCACATTTATCTGTGGGTCATATGTGGGTGATAAAATGCAGCAGGGACTTGCTAAAACACTTCGTGAGGGCTTATTACTCTGACCCTCCTAAGCTTTGAACCATTGTGTAGGATTGCTGGAACCCTGGTAGGATTTGAGAACAGGTGGCATGGGAGGGCAGATTCCAAACAGAAAGAATGAAAATTCAGAAACCAGAAGAAAGCATGTTTCTGGTATTGTTTGGCTATTTTCATGAATTATAGCCAAGTAGGACTAGCAAGGGGTACAGGTCTCTGCCTGTGATAGGAGTTTTCATGGCTATTGGACATTTTTACCCAAACTGATTGTACCTTCGCAGTGCTCCACTGTCCTCCGTGAACAGGACATTTCCAAAGGAGAAGAATGGTGTGACTCTTGTTGCTAATCCCTGTTTCCTTTGGAATTCTGGCAGACTCTGTGTTGATCCAGACGCTGGCTGAGATGACCCCGGGAATGGTCCTTGACTTGGAGGTACAGGAAGTGTTGGAAGATGGCTCTGTGCTGTTCAGTGAGGGCCCAGTGCCTGGCCTGGTCCTGAGAGCCAACAGATATCATCGGGCAGGTGAGTGCTTGTGTCTCACCCATCATGGTTGGTGGAGGAAACCTTTTGCCCTTTGCTCCCTCTCCTGGCTACAAGAGTTCCAAATACAGAGGGTAGATGAGATGATTCAATAGAAATTTTTGGCGTGCCTGTCTTGTGTGAATGCAAATCAGAACAACTGACAGCATACTAAGGAAGATTTAGGTGTGAATCTTTTCATTGGTTATAATTGGGTAAATAGAGATTTGACGTATCAGCATGAATTAAGGCGCCCCTGAACTTGAACTGTGGGCGCTAGACCCTTGGTTTCCCCAACCCATATAGACATGTGGCCTCTTTTCTTTTTTATGCCTAAGGGTTTGAGGTCTTGGAGAGATGCTGTCTCCTTCCCCCTGTTCCATGGGGTGATCATGTTGTGTTTGGTTCTGCACTGCAGGGCAGGAGGTAGAATCTGGGCAGAAAAAGAAGGCTGTCATCTTAAATGTTGATATGTTGAAGTTGGAAGTACACGTTTCCCTTTGCCACGATTTGGTGAATAGAAAAGCTAAAAAGGTAAGCTTGCTGAGGACTCCGTTTCCATGGTTTCAAATGCGTCACCCACCCTTCCTCTCACACTCTTGGCTCAGGGCACTAATGCAAATTCCTTTAGATAGGGTGACCGTATACCCAGACTTGTCTGGGACATTCCTAGTTTCTACCTCTCGTCCTGGTGTGGTTATTAACTCACTGACTTTCACTCTGGTTCAGAGGATAACTTATATGGTCACCATGTCTTTAGGGCCAGGCTGGTAACGTAAATGAGTGAGGTGGGCCAGGCCGGTTAGGAAGCTGTAGTGGTAGGACTCTGACAGACCACATGCCCTCCCACAAAGGGTGGGGACTCTTCAGCTCCGTCTGGTTGTTGCCAGGTGGGAACATCTGCATCCAATGTCTTTGATTTTTAAGAAGATGCAGAATTTGGATTTTTATTTATAAATGTGGGAAATGTTAGAAACTGTTTTTTTAAAACATCACATGAATCAAGCAAAACATGGCTGTGGGTGGTTCTGACCTCCAGCCTGCTCATCCATACCTTCTCCTGTATGCTGTTGTGTGACAGAAGAACGAGTTCAAGGGAAGTCTCAAAATTAGTAGTATTTTCCTCTGGATGATGTATATATTTGATCGTCATCTGTAGTACTTTTTAAGTACCTAATTGCGTAGAGTATGGTATAGAAAATTACGTAGATATAGTTCTTAACTTCTCGTTTCTTATAATTTTAAGACTTTAAGAGAGACAAAGAGAACTAGAAAACAACACTAACCCCCTACTAAGGTTCTGGCAGGTCCCTGTTCCATTTTATCATCCACATGAAAGCTTGAACATATAAGGATGTCAGCACAGTTGGATTTGGGGGAAAGACAGGCTAAAGGCCTGCACGTGATAAGCTCTCAGTAATGACTCTATTTGTTGAATGATTGAAAGAGTGAATAAACTGGGTGGAGAGCTGCAGGACTGAGAGGCTCGGGAACCGGTGTTTTACAGCTGGAGAACTGTTAGAGGTCACCTAGTTATGCATGAGAATCACCTAAGTAACTTTTAAAATTCTGATTCTACTACTTCTAGGATAGGACCTAGGAACCTGAATTCAAAACAAAACAAACACTATCTCCAGGTGATTCTGATGTGGCACCTTGAGCTCAGTCAGAGTCACCTCAGTGTACAGGAGGGGGAAGCTAGGTCGAGGGAGCGAAGGCTAGTTTGTTACAGCTCAGACTAGCCTTGGGTCCTGTGGACTCCAGAGGGTTTCCCCAGCCCTACCTTGCCCAGTGGGTGATGGACTAGCACCTGTCCTCTGTATGAAGCGGGGATGTGGGCTTTCTGTTTTCCAGCTGAAGAAAGGCAGCGAACACCAGGCGATTGTGCAGCACCTGGAGGAGTCCTTTGCCGTTGCCTCTTTAGTAGAAACTGGCCACCTGGCAGCTTTCTCCCTGACCTCTCACCTCAATGACACCTTCCGCTTTGACTCAGAGAAGTTGCACGTGGGACAGGGTGTCTCCCTAACCCTCAAGACCACAGAACCAGGAGTGACTGGTCTTCTCTTGGCTGTTGAGGGGCCAGCTGCTAAGAGGACCATGAGACAGACCCGAAAGGACTCTGAGGCAGTCGACGAGGATGAGGAAGTGGATGCAACTCTGGTTGTGGGGACTGTGAAGAAGCATACCCTGTCCATTGGGGACATGGTCACAGGGACTGTCAAGTCCATTAAGCCCACCCATGTGGTTGTGACCCTGGCAGATGGCATCATTGGCTGTATCCATGCCTCCCACATTCTAGATGATGTTCCAGCGGGCACTTCTCCTACTGCCAAGCTGAAAGTTGGGAAGACCGTCACTGCCCGAGTGATTGGTGGGCGAGACGTGAAGACCTTCAAGTATGGAGGCTTTTGGGGATGGGCCGGCTTTGAGGGGAGATTGTTGTAACTGTGGGAGGAGGAATGGCAACTGAGGCAGGTTCCCAAAAGTTGCACATAGATCAGATTTTCTTTTAGTTAACAAGAACATTCACAAAGAATCTTTTTTTTTTTAATGGAATATATTGTAGTGGTTAAGAGCATTGGCTTAGAGTCAGACCTGGGTTTGAATTCCAGAATTGGCACTTAAAATTATGCGACCATGATCATGAGTTAAGTTGTTACTTAACTCTCTGAGTTCTGTTTTCCTAATTTGTAAAGTGAGAGCAATGGGAGTGACAACCTTTTAGGGCCGTTGTGAGGGTTGAAAGAAAGAACCTCTAGTATGTAATGTGCCTCGCAGGTTGCCTGACACTTAGTTGTTGATTGGTATCCATCAGAATTATTATTGTCCATTCTTCACTGCATAGCTTAATTATACTCATCTACTTTAAATCTAGTTACAGTGTGTTATTGTAGCAGAAATGCTTGCTACAATGAGAAAAGCAAAAAATGAATTCAAAGTCTAGCCAATAATTTGCATAATTTCAGTAAGTAATTGTGGGATCTTCAGTAAGTCATTTATTCTCTCTAGACCTCAGCTTCCGTATTTTTGGAATGAAAGAGTTGGGGTACATAGTCTCTAAGGAGAATTCTTTTCAGTGTTTAATATGATGATCTTAAAAGATCAGATGAGCCAGCTCCTTAACATTTATTGCAAAGGATGAGAATAGACACCCTCAGGACACCCTCAGGCCTGGCACATCACCAATGGGTGGTATTGAGGTGGAGTGGTGGTGTTTTTAAGCTTGGTTTGGTGGGGAGTAGAGAGAAATTCTGACCTCCAGATTGTAGTGTTACGGAGATTAAGGGAAATGATTTGGCTTTATTTGTTTCTCCAGGTTTCTCCCAATAAGTCATCCCAGATTTATTCGAACCATCCCGGAGCTGAGTGTTCGGCCAAGGTGAGGGGAACCCCCAGGACCGTGGTCTCATGGAAAGAGCACTGGGCTCTGGCGTCAGGAGCCTGAGTTCCAGTCTTGATTCTGCCAGTGTTGTGACTTATTTTGCCTCTCTCTGTCCTGGTTGTCCTATTTCTATAGTAGGAATATTTGTCTATTACAGGGCTAGTTAGAGGGATTATATGAAAATTAAGGTAAAAGCTGTTTTCAGGGTTTAAGTATCAGTTGAAAGGCTGATTACGGTTCTGTTTATTGGCATATAACAAAAGGAAACATTTTTTCCTCTCAACCCAGTTTTCTAGAACTCAGTAGTTCCCTAAATAAACAACGTGTAGCCAAGAATGCGTGTTCTTTGAGTGTGAACTCTTGCTTGGTGACTGGGATCTCAGGGCGTGCTCTAGTCAGCTCTGCAGGGGCTTCTGCGAGGGATTCTGGGTGGAGGAGAGCTACTGGTTCCACGTAGTGGTGGATCCAGTTTGTCTGGGATCATTTTTTCAGATGATCTTAAACATTTTGATCCATGGGCCTATCTGCTTCTGCTTCCTCCATTAAAAAAACCCTAGCCTCTCAGAATTGATAGGCCATCAACGAGTAAAGCTGGATACACGTGACCATGAGACTAGCTCTCCAGAGTCAGCCCCGGGACCCCTCCAGGTTGTACGTCTTATGTGCCTAGGGATGTTGTGGAAGGGCCTCTTAAGTAACTTTCAGAGAGTGGGGTTTGGTCAGTGTACTGAAAGGACCAGGATAGAAGTGGAATGTTTCTGTGAAAGCTTGTGTCTGAGGCAGGGATATATTCCTGGAAGACTGAGTTCTAAATGCTAACAACACTCCTGGAACTTCAAAGTAAGCCCTTTAGTTCCAGGATAATGAAATTTGGCGGATGCACGCATTCTTGTTTCATCTGTGGTTTCCTTAGTTTTGTAGATTTTCATTGTGTCCCCCTCCAGTTTCACTGTGAAAATAAAGAGATCTCATCATATTAGTCGTTTTAGTCTGCTGTTTCTTCACCTCTGAGGTGTGATGTCTTGTTTAATTAAGGGTTGAGGTCAAGTAGCTTATTCAGGCTAAGGGTGGATATCTTAAATTAATGAATACTTCAAGGGACAAGGCAGTGAACTTGTGGGAAGACCCACTGGGATCCTAAATGGTTCTTGACCCTCAGAGTGCTAGAACCTCTCATGAACTAACACTGCTGTTGTTGGTCCACCCCCTTGTCTTGGGGGACTGTGCTATGAACCAGAGTGGTGGTACTTGGCTGTAGCAGTGTGGGCCAAGTGCATTTATTGAGGAGGTGGAGAATGGAGAGTTAAAACAACAGACAGGGGCCGGCCCAGTGGTGCAGCGGTTAAGTTCGCACGTTCCGCTTCAGCAGCCTAGGATTCGCTGGTTCAGATCCCGGGTGTGGACATGGCAGCGCTTGTCAAGCCATGCTGTGGCAGGCGTCCCACATATAAAGTAGAGGAAGATGGGCACGGATGGTAGCTCAGGGCCAGTCTTCCTCAGCAAAAAGAGGAGGATTGGCAGCAGTTAGCTCAGGGCTAATCTTCCTAAAAAATAATAATACTAAAATAAATAAATAAAAATAACAAGTGGACAGATAAACTCTAGCACATCTTCCACTTCCTCTGTTCCCCTATGTTATAGTGTTAGTTATTTTATTTTAATCAAGGCCCCTGAGAAACATCGTATAAATATATTAGTGGTATTATTGCCATATTTCTCTAATGGTTATGTTTTAAAATACATATTTTGAAGTCAGGAGGAAATTTGTTTAATTGACGGTGTTGACTTATTGAGGAAATGTAGTCGTATTTTCATTCCCGCGTATCCGTGGAGGTCTTATGCACGAAGGGAATGCCGTCTGTACTAGAGCTGAGGTGAGGATCGTGGAGGGCATTCAAGCTAGAGCCGTCGCTTCCTTCTCAGCTGCTCTTTCGGAGGGGTAGGAGTTCAGGGAGCAGAGCAGTTCAAGAGTCTTAAACTGTATCTCTGGGATTCCTGCTAGTTGCTGAGTTTTCTGTTAGCATTACTTCAGTTATGCCCACCCTTCTTTTTTGTGGTTATTCTTTTTTGGAGAGGCAGTTTAAAGTCATTTTGGGAAAAGAAAAAAGGGTAACATACTCGTTATATGTATATGTGTTCTATTTTTTGTGGGTTTTTTTGGCTTAAACAACAGACATCTATTTTCTGATAATTCTGGAGGCTAGGAGTCTGAGATGAAGGTGTTGGCAGGGTTTGTTCTTCTGAGTCCTCTCTCCTTGGCTTGTAGATGGCCACCTTCTCCCAGTGTCTTCATGTGGTCTTCCCTTTGTATACCTCTGTGTTGTAATCTCCCTTTTTTTTAATTATTGTGGTAAGAGCACATAACATAAATTTATCCTTCACTAGTTTTTAAGTGTTTGTTACAGTATCATTAACTATATGCACATTATTGTATAACAGATCTCTAGAATTTTTTCATTTTGTGACTGAAACTCTATACCCATTGAACAATTCTCTGCCCCACCCCCCACGAGGTGGCAGCCTCTGACAACCACCATTCTGCTTTCTGTTTTCTTGAGTTTGATCACTTTAGATACCTCATATAAGTGGAGTCATGCACACTCCTTCTGTGACTGGCCTATTTCACTTAGCATAATGTCCTCAAGGATCATCCGTGTTGTAGCAGATAGCAGGATTTCCTACTTTTTTAAAGCTGAGTAATATTCCATTGTGTCTCTGTACCACATTTTCTTTATCCCTTCATCCATCAATGGACATTTAGGTTGCTTCCACATCTTGGCTGTTGCGAATAATGCTGCAGTGAACATGGGTGTACGATATCTCTTTGAGATCTTCTTCGGTTCTTTTGGATGTACAGTCATGTTTTGCTTAGCGATGGGGATTCTGAAAAATGCGTTGTTAGGCAATTTCATTGTGCAAACATCATAGTGCGTACTTACCACCGTTGTATATGCAGTCAATCGTTGACTGACATGTTGTTATGTGGCACGTGACTGTGTACCCAGAAGTAGGAATGCTGGATCGTATGGTAGTTATATTTTCAGTTTTTTGAGGAGCTTCTGTACTATTTTCTATAGCAGCTGTGCCATTTTACAGTCCTACCAACAGTGTACAGGGAGGGGTTCCCTTTACTCCACATCCTCACCAACACTTGTTCTGTTACATCGCTACAAGTGTGAAGTGATATCTCACTATGGTTTTGATTTGTATTTTCCTGATGTTTAGTGATGTTGAGCACCTTTTCCTGTGCTTCTCAGCCATATGTATCTTCTTTGGGGAAATGTGTATTCAAGTCCTGTTTTCTTAATTGGGTTATTTGGTTTTTGTTATTGAGTTGTAGCTTAATCTCTTCCTATAAGAACACCAGTCATACTGGATTAAGGCCCACCCTGACAACTTCATTTTAACTTTCTTCCTTTTTAAATTCCCTGTCTCCAGATACAGTCACATTCTGAGGTACTGGGGATTAGTACTTCAACATGTCAATCTGAGGGGGAGAGGGGTGCACAATTCAGCCCATAACAGACATTCTAATGTCACCTAACTATGTAAGTTTCATCCTAACTATAACTTATATAACTATATAAGTTCATCCCAACTGTAAACTGCATTAGAGATAACGTGTGTACATTGTCTGTTACAGTGCCAGGCACACGGAAGTTGTGTGTGTGTGCGCGTGTTAAGAAATAACAGTTTACAGATGCTCTCTTCCCTAGGCTTCTCTCTCCTCGTCCCAGAGGATGAATTCCGCAGTATTAATTTCATGTATATCCAGCTCTTGCTTTTATACTTTAATTATATATACACATATATATGTACATATATATCTACAAAAAATTCTGTAGTTTTCAAATTTTACTGCTATGCTGACTTAATATTTTGTAACTTGTTTTTTTCACTCAAAATTTTGCTTTTTGAGATCTATCCATTTTTGTGCCTGTAATTAAAGTAGTAATCTGTCCTATGAATGTGCCAAACTATGTATGTCTCAAACTCATGGAGGACATATAAGGTGGTTTCCAGTTTTTCTCGTTTATAAGCAATGCCACAATGAACATCCTTGAACTTGTTCCGTTGTGCATCCATCCAAGGATTTCTCTAGGGTGGAATTGCTGGGTCATAGGATATCTGCATTTCCAACTTTACTAGTATGTGAAGGTTCTCATTTTTCTATATTCACCAATACTTGCTATTATTATATGTTACACTTTTATTGGTAGTACTTGTACCATTTTATTGATGGGTTTTGTTTTCTCTTAGAAATTACCTGAATTGGTAAGCTGGGCTGGGTCGGAAGGGTGGGAGCTTTGTGATGCCTTTGAAGTAATTTGTGGACTGATAACCTTCAGACCACACCCATTGTTGCTTTTCTGAGAAGAAAAAGAGAGTTAAGAAGGTGATGGTGGCAAGGGGCCTAGGGGACAGAGCCCTGGAGTTTTGAATCAGAGCCCCGACTTCAGCTCCTGGTTTAATAGCATAAAATGAGTTTAGTAATATCTACCCTGCCTGATTCACACATGACACTGTTGTCACATGCAGTGAGAGATTATTTGTGAAAGCCGTTCTGCAAACTGTAAAGCGATAGCTAAAGTCTTATGTAAGAAGTAAAACAGTTTTGTCTCCTAAATTTATGGATTGTTATAGGCTGCTACCTCTTTTGTAGCTTGTTCATATCTAGGCGAGCGCGAGGGCAAAGATTAGCTCAAGTATTGTGGACATTCCTCTTTAAGGAGCGAAATGGGGGTGCGGGAGGTGTGTGTGAGTTAGGGGAGTCCTGTACAATTGATCCGTGACCACTTGGGGGAGATGTTTTCTAAGCTAGAAGCTTCTCCTGAGGTTACTTTACTCTTTCCTTGGCCTTTCTGCCAACAGCGAGCTGGAGAAGGATGGCCACACCGCTCTCAACACGCACTCTGTCAGCCCCTTGGAGAAGATTAAACAGTACCAGGCTGGTCAGACCGTGACTTGCTTCTTGAAGAAGGTGAGTAGTGCATGCCCTGCAGTGCGACGCCATCCTTTCAGAAGGAAAGGGGGAGAAGCTGGAGACACTGGCACTAGGCATTTGATTCTGTTCGCTGCTGTGTTGGTTTGTGGGAGACCATATAAGGCCTTTGCTCCTAGAAAACTTCTGGTCTAATCAAAGAGCTGAAATTAGGGTTTACAAAACAGTTAACCAGCAACTCACAGTTCAACATGCTTGTAGATAATTGTACAAATTACAAAGAAAAATATATCATAGAACAAGACTTCAATGCAGTATTGGATTTACGTCCTTACCTTTCATAAAACTCAGGTGCAGTGCAAAACAATACATAACGGGGTGCCAGAGTATTTGTTCTAACCCCAAGTGGAACAGGAGTTCAAGAAAGGGAGGAGATCGCTAAGAGCTGTGCTGTTTGGAATATATCAGAGAGAGTTGGACGTGTTTGGCCTTGAGGGATCACTCCTCTTCTTTGCTGCCAGATTCTTCTTCCATAAGCACTGTGTGAGCATGTCACTGAGGCTTGGTCCCCTTAGTTACCTGTTGTCTATAGGTGGGGTTCCTAAACCCCAGATGCCTTAGAATGAGACTTAAGGCTCTTCATACTTGGACCTCACGCACCCTCTGTACCAATCACTCTGAAAACCTTTTTCCCTTCTTGTCTTTATTTCTGCAGCTGGAGTACCCTCTATTCCTATTGCCTCCAGCCCTTCAAGGTCCAGCCCAGATAACCCTCCCTTATTACTAGTTCTATATAGTCCCATAGCATATTTTTCTCCCTATTGTACTTCCACTGCTCTAGTTATTTGCATACTCATTTACTCTTTGTAGATTGTGATCTCCTTGAAGGCAGGGCCTGGCTTTTATTTATCACTGTGATGCCATATGCATAGTGGCTGTTTGATAAATGTTTTGTTGAATTGACTTGAAAATTGGGGGGTGTGTTTAGAGCAGGGCCCTGTGCAAACAGTGAAGGATCAAAATCTTAAATTTATTTAGAAGTAGAGGTTGGCTCCTGGAGATGATTAACAATCACTGGGCACAGCTGAGCTTGGAGGCAGCTGCAGAGATCAGTGGGGTTGGTCCTACTGCTTGAGGACATCTCTGAGGTCGTTTTTGCCTCCTCATCAGCTGGGGCACCAGGAGGGAGGCATGTTCTGTAGGCTGGCGAAGAGTCTGAGCTAACTCTGAGGGAAGCGTGGGATGTGGAGGTTGGCCAGGGCCAGTGGGATGTCGGGGTGGATTCCTGTCCCTTGGAGAAATGCAGGATTAGGGCCCTTTCAATGCTGTGATTTTAGGAGAGTCTGTGTTTTAGTGAAGAGAAAAGAAGAGAGACTTGTATCTGTCCTGTTCCATTTCTTCTGTTTTTTTTTCTCCCAGTACAATGTGGTTAAGAAATGGCTTGAGGTGGAGATTGCTCCGGACATCCGAGGGAGAATTCCCTTGTTGCTCACTTCTCTCAGCTTCAAGGTCAGTGTGCTTGAGATCCCTGGAGAGGAAACGCGGGCTCCCTAAGCTCAACTCAGTGTCTCGTGGGTGTGTTCACAGTGGGTACAAGGAACCGTGTGCTTATGCACGGCTTGGTTTGGGGGAGACTTACTGTAGAGACTTAAATGATGTGATTTTGGATAAATGACGCATCTTTCTTCAAACATTAGAGGAATTTTCTTGTCCTTCCAGGTTCTGAAACATCCAGATAAGAAGTTCCGGATTGGCCAGGCCCTGAAGGCCACCGTGGTTAACCCAGATTCTTCCAAGGCTTTCTTGTGTCTCTCGCTCATAGGTGTGGTGATGAATGGTGCCTGCTCAGGGAAGGGAGGAGTGGAAAGGAGTGGGAAGGGGTCTTCACTTGTTGCCCAGGTTGAAGGATGCCTTCAGTATTGGAGGCCTCAGAAAGCCTAGTGTGGTTGGTGCCTTCTTGGAACAGTTTTTCTTTTGGGACTTTGTTCTCTGGCCTGTGTCACTCTTCTACTGTCTGAGTCACCTTTACCTACACAGTTGGTTTTCTCAAGTCCCTCAGAAAGGGTTGTCCACTACATGGCCCTGAGAATATGGCATGGTAATCTGAGTTTTCGTGGTCATTCTGGTCCGCTCAGCCTAGACACCCCAAGTCTGGACAGCCTCCCCCTTCCCCAGCCTGGGGTTGTGCAGCATTCCAGTTCTTTCTTGGCTCTTTTCCTCCTCCCTGAATCAGGTTCATTCTCTTACCAGGTCCTCACAATCTCGAGAAAGGGGAAGTGGCCATGGGCCGAGTGGTGAAGGTGACTCCCAAGAAGGGGCTGACTGTTTCCTTCCCCTTTGGGAAGATCGGAAGAGTCAGCATATTTCACGTGAGTGACTCCTACTCGGAGACGCCCCTGGAAGACTTCACCCCGCAGAAGGTTGTCAGGTAGGCCAAGTTTTTTCCTCTTTTCACCTGTCTGTGGGATTGGTAGAGTTAAAATATATATACATATGTACATATATATACACACGTATATGTCTAAGTAATGCATGGTTTTGTACCAGAAAAAAATAGTATATAAAACAGAAAGTGAAAATTTCTATTGCTCGTCTCTTTTTCCACCACTTTTCACCGTTATATACTTTGGTCTCTAACTTTCAAGACTTTAACACATATATAGGAATAATTTTCCTTTATGTAATAATAGAATTTCATTTTATATACTATTCTGCACTCTCTTTTTTCTCATAGCAGTTTCTCATGGACTTTTTCTTTTCCTATGCTAGTGTATCTAAATCTTCCTTGTTCTTTTACCTTATTTTTAGTATTTTTTTAGCATTTCATTGTGTATTTTTTTATCGGAATTTATTTAAGCAATTCCCTGCTGATGGACCGTGATGTTGAAGTGAATATCTTTGCACATGTGTTCCGATACTAGTGCGAGTATATCTGTGGAGTACAGTCAACGGGTCAAGCAATGTTATACATTGTGCCAAATTCCCCCCAAAGGGCTGTGCTGATTTTTATCTCCATTAACAATAAATGTGACTCTCTGTTTCTTGTACCCCTACCAACCCTGGGTATTCTTCATTTTTAATCTTAGCCATTGAATAGGCAAAAATTGATCTCTCATTTTAATTGGCATTTCTCTAACTGGGCGTTTTCCCCCTTTATTGGCTGTTGACATTTGTTCTGTGCTTTGCTTGTCCAAGTTGCTTGCTCATTTTTACACTGAAGCAGTCATCTTTTTAATTTTCTGAGAATTGATCTGTAGGAGTTCTGTCCGAGGAAAGGGGCGTTTTATAGTTGGGGGGCTTTCTTTATGAACTATTTCGATGCACAAAAGTGAACTACCTCAGAGTTTTGAGCCCTTTTGATAGCCTGAATAAATTAGCATCGAAGAGGCAGACTTCAGCCTGATTCAGTGAAGACTTTTCTGGGGATCAAAATTAGCTGACAGTGGAGCGGACGCCTTCAGGAGGCAGAGACTGAAAAGTATAATTGCTCCTTCCCATCTTGAGTATTCCAGCCACTGGCACCTGCCGAAAGTCTCCACCACTTGTCAGAGCTAAACAGCACAAGATACCCAGGCCTGGGAGGAGAAATAGACTGCCCAGAGAGACCGGGATCTCTCCGCTGTGTCTCTTGAGGCTTACAAAATGCAAGTGTGACTTTTAGCAAAGTATTTATTTTAAATACATTGTATTATAGCCACACCTGTGAGAAGCATTCAGTTGCAATTCCTTCATCTGTCAAATGTGGGTAATAAGTTAATTGCCTAAAGGTCCCTTCCCACTTTAAGGGCTATGACGCCATCTTATAAGAGGCAAGCACCTGTCGTGGGGAAAATTTGGACTGTATTGTTGCTGAGATCCTTCCTACGCTAAGATTCTAGACTTTGCAACTTTGGGCTACTAACTGACATTTTACATGAAATAAATTTGGAAATGCAACCAAAAAGTAAACCCTGCTTTCCTCCCGGAAGCTGCCCTGCTCAGGCCTCTCTGATCGGCCTCCTCAACTAGTGCTGTTAGTCTGTACTGGCACATGGGTCATCCCCTGGTCACAGTTTCCTGTGGTTAGTCTCTCTTTCCACTGAGATCACACATACCCAGGTCCTCACACGGGGCTGTTTCATCTCCTAAATACTCACCACGTGGCTCTCTCTGTCTTCCAGGGCGCTTTCGTGTCTCCTCTTATTTTCTTCTCCCAGTACCTTTCTTGGGTAAGAAGAGCAGGTGGTATTATTTTTACTTGACAGACGGGTAAACTGAGGCCCGAGAGGTGACTTGTCCCTCAGCAGGTTTGCAACAGAATGAAAACCAGAGCCCAGGTGTTATGTCTCCTCACTCTTGCCTGTTGGTTGATCAGCCTGTGGAGAGGAAGCTGGGTCCCTCTGCTGTCTCCCGAGATGCTGAAAAGTCAGCGTTTCCTTCTCTTTTGCTCTCCTTCCAGGTGTTATGTCCTGTCCACTGCAGGCCATGTATTGACTTTGTCCCTGCGATCGTCCAGGTGAGTGTCTGTGTTGTTGGGACAAAAGCGGGGAGAACCCACTCAGAGGACAGAGGAGAGGCTCCATGGAACCTTGGCTTCCCACCTTTATTCTCTGCTTGTCCCCTTTGTACCCTGCCCTGCTTTTACCCAGAAAACCTGAGGACATTCAGATTGCTAGAATAACCTTTCTGCCAGGTTCTTGTTTCCCAGGGAAAGGTTCGATGTCCAAATGTCGGTGTTCTAGGTTGACAGACAGTGGCCCTGGTGAGGGGAGATGATTGGCTTCCACAGGAGGGGTAAATGTGTCATGGAGTGGATTGGCCTGAGGTCAACTTGTGCCCTGGTCAGAAATGGCTGTTTATGAGGCCAGCGCTTTAGGTTTGGCCTCCCTCTGGCTCCGTCAGCCTCTCACTGTTTCTGCATACCCAGCTCACAGACACGTGTTCCCGGCTGACAGGACTTCACGAGAGAGTAGGGCTGGGCTCTAAACGTTGCATCCTACTGACAGGGCCAGAGTCATATATTTACAAACAAACTTTGATTATCCCAGGTGAGCTGGGGGTGAGAGTGGGGAAAAGGGGATCGGTATCTGTGTATGTAAGCCTTTTATTCCTTTAGGACAAACCCGGAGACAAAAAGCAAAATAGCAGATCCTGAGATTAACTCCCTGAAGGACATTCGGGAAGGGCAGCTGCTGAGGGGCTATGTGAAGTCCGTCCAGCCGCACGGTGTGCTCTTTGGGTGAGTGAGGTGGGGCCTGGGGACAGGGCCAGACGGAGTGCCCTCCTGGGCCCGTCCTGTTGTGGTCCACTGCATCCCTCAGTCAGCTTCTCTGAACGGAATATGAAGGAAGGAGAGCCTGAATTCCCCTCAGTTTTTTAAATTCCAAGTTGTTGGGGTTTTTTTTTCTATTTTATTTTTTATTGGGGTTATGATAGTTTACAACCTTGTAAAATTTCAGTTTTACATTATTATTTGTAAGTCATATTGTAGGTGCACCACTTCATCCTTTGTGCCTGCCTGTCACTCCCCTTTCCCCTGGTAACTACTAATCTGTTCTCTTTGTCCATGTGTTTCTTTATCTTCCACATATGAGTGGAGTCATACAGAGATTGTCTTTCTCTGTCTGGCTTACTTTACTTAACATAATACCCTCAAGGTCCATCCATGTTGTTGTCAATGGGACAATTTTATCCTTTTTTTTAATGGCTGAGTAGTATTCCATTGTGTATATATACCATATTTTCTTTATCCGGTCATTAGTCAATGGGCAGTTAGGTTGCTTCCACTTCTTGGCTATTGTGAATAATGCTGCAGTGAACATAGGGGTGCATGGGTCTCTTTGAATTGCTGATTTCAAGGTCTTTGGCTAGGTACCCAGTAGTGGGATGGCTGGGTCATATGGTATTTCTGTTTTTAATTTTTTGAGAACTCTTCATACTGTTTTCCATAGTGGCTGCACCAGTTTGCATTCCCACCAGCAGAGTATGAGGGTTCCTTTTTCTCCACAACCTCTCCAACATTTATTTTTTGTCTTGGTTATTTTAGCCATTCTAATGGGTATAAGGTGATATCCTAGTGTAGTTTTGATTTGCATTTCCCTGATGATCAGTGATGAACATTTTTTCATGTGCCTATTGGCTATCCGTATATCTTCTTTGGAGAAATGTCTGTTCATGTCCCCTGCCCATTTTTTGATTGGGTTGTTTCTTGTTGAGTTGAAATTCCAAGTTTTTTTATACTTTAAAAAAAGTGTTGAATTATTCTTGTTTGGTGTTTTCGACAAAGAGTATGTCATGTCCATGATCATGATTTGTAAATGTCCTGTGAAATCACGTGGTGGTCACAGCCACCAGATCTTACACCCTTCCCTGCTATAATCACGTTTCCTCGTTTTCTTCTTGTCTTTCTAGCAGTTGGTGATTTATACACTGATGCTCACATGTGCGGTGGGCGGGGAGGAAATAGCCTTCAATCATGTCTTCATTAGGCTTGATAATTTTTTCCAGTTTACAAAGCCCTCTTGATCTTGTTGAATGCCAGGAACTTACGTCTGTTTAAATCCTTGTCACAACTTGGGTGTCTGGGAAAGTAGAGACCCTAGGCTTGGCTGTGACTCTGTTACTCTGTTGTTGTATTTGTGACCCTAGGACCCTTGTCTCTCTCTTGTCAGCCTTGGCCCCTCAGTTGTGGGTTTGGCCCAGTACCCGCATGTCTCCCAGTACAGCCCGACCGAGAAAGCCCTTTATAACAGACACCTCCCCGAAGGGAAGCTGCTCACAGCCAAGGTCCTGAGGTAGGTGCCTTAGCTCTCTTTCCTTCTGTCTCTCACCCTTTGTCTGGGAGCCCCGGGGAGGAGATTTAGAGGTAAACTGTAGGCATAGTGGTGAATGCAATGTTCAGATAAATGAAATCCCTTTGTTTGGAGCCTTCTACCTAAGCTCCTAAAAGCAAATGTGGAGACTTTCTGCATAGGCACCTGTTGTTGGGGACAAAGCAGGGGACCATCACGACCACCCCCTCTATTTTTCTGCTCAGCATGGTAAAATGTACAAACCATTCCTAAGAATACCGAGTGGATTCCAAGGCAAGTGGGGCAGGGCCCAGAAAATTCTGGGCTGATCAGGAGAGAAAGGCCCAAGCTGCTTGCGGTGCCTGTAGTCTGTCGTCTTCATTGTCCACCTCCCTCTCTCCCTGTCGTAGCCTGAACCACCAGAAGAACCTGGTAGAGCTGTCGTTCCTCCCGGGTGACACTGGGAAGCCGGACGTGTTTCCCGCCTCCCTAGGACTGCTGCTTCTGAAGCCAGAGGAGAGGAGAATAGAGGCAGAGGTAGACCGCGAAGGAGAGGAGGAGAGGAAGAAGAATCAGAAAAGGAAAGAGAAGAGGAGCCAGAAGGGGCAGGAGGAGGCGCAGCTATCCAGCAAGAAGAAAGAGCCCCAGAAACCACAAGCGAAGAAGCAGGGCAAGCGGCTGCGCCTGGAGTCTGGAAGTGGACAGGTACGTCCCTCAGGGAGGGTGGCCTCGCCTCTTGTGAAAAGCAGAGCCCTTCAAAACTCGGCCAGGCAGCGGCCTAGCCTTCTCTTGGACTGACAGCAGCGTGAGTTTGGAGGCCAGGCACTGGGTGGTGCCAGGAGGGGCCAGGGATGGCATTGCCCTGGGCCACCGGAGGTGCTCCTGGGCAAGGAGGGTGGCTTGGCATTTTTCCCCACCTGTCATCTCAGGAGAGAGTGAACAAGAAGCAAAAGAAAGCCGCTCCATCAGAGGGAGACGACAGTGGTGTCGAGGTGTATTATCGGGAAGGAGAAGAGGAGATAGAAGAGACAAGTGTGCTGCCCAAGGTGAGGGACCACACCTGCTCGGGGAGAGAAGGCAGCTCTGGGGAGGGAAGTCCTCGGTCGCCTGCCTTGGAGCTGGGCTGTCTTCGGCACCATCCTCTTCTCTCTCATTTCCTATAAAATAGGAAAAGTGAGGCTACTAGTTTCTTCAGTTGGTCATCGGCTCCCTGAGGACAGGGACCCCGTCTTACCCATAGAGTGGGCTGCATAAGATAAACTCTAATCAGTGTTACTGGCTGGAGCAGAATTAAGTAGTGGGGTGGGCAGATAGAGGGGGCCTGGCCTTTCTGTGCCTCTGTCCCCCTCTGAAGAAAGGAGAGCAGTTCTACTTGAACTGAGGGAACTGGGTATGGAAGGACTTCCCAGACTTGAGGGACTCACGGCCCTGCCACCTTCAGAACGTTTGTCATATCTCTGTCCTGGCTCTACTCTTATTTTATACACGTGTGTAGATGTGTATATGCACACATACCTATTCTGAAACTTTGTTACCTAAATGAACTTATTTACAAAGAAAGCTTTTCTGTCACTACTATAAAGTTTCCCCAGTGGACCGGGACCTGGCCTGGCCCTGGGAGGAGCGGAAAGGTGTCCGGGCATGGTGGGGGTCCCTGCTCCAGGTGGGACGGAGCTGGGGAACAGGAGTGCCTTCCTCACATGCCTCTGTGATCCTCCAGGGGAAGCCGACCAGGCCAGCAGAAGTGCCCCGGCTGCAGCTGTCTTCTGGCTTTGTTTGGGATGTGGGGCTAGACTCTCTGACCCCGGCCTTGCCACTTCGAGGAGAGAGCTCCGACAGCGAGGAGGACGAGAAGCCACAGCAATCCATGGTGTCGTATTTTGCAGGGCTTTGTCCTTTGTGCAGGGACCCCTTGGTGCCAGTCCCTGTGCTCTGTCCGAGCCTGGGTGTCTCTTGCAGTGGGTGGGGCGATCTCAGGCCAAGAAGTATTTATAGAGCTCGTGGACTGCCCTGCCCACTCATGGTCTCTGCCACAGACCTCCCCAGGGTCTGAGGAGCAGATTGCTCACTTGTTTTTCTTCCTTCCCCAGCAGAAGAAGAAAAGCAAGAAGGAAAGGGAATTGGAGAAGCAGAAGGCAGAGAAAGAGCTGTCCCGCATCGAGGAGGCCCTGATGGATCCCGGGCGACAGCCAGAGTCAGCAGATGATTTTGACCGACTCGTGCTGAGCTCCCCCAACAGCTCCATCCTGTGGCTGCAGTACATGGCCTTCCACCTGCAGGCCACGGAGATCGAGAAGGCCCGGGCTGTGGCTGAGAGGGCTCTCAAGACTATTTCCTTCAGGTCTCGGCTTTGCACCCACCGTAGGGAGGGCCCTTTCGACAGGGAGGGCCGTGTCTCCCCAGGTTGCAGGGCTTGCTGCCTATGGGTCATTTCCTCCTCGGCAGGCTGACAGCAGTTTCAGAGGCTGCCACCAGGGGCCCCTGGGTTCCCAGGCTTTCTCTCCTAGAGGGGCCATCTGTGAAACAGATCTGCTCGTTTATAATTTATAGTCCTCTTCACTGAAATAGCTAAGGGTAACATTTACCAGAGTCCCTACACTAAATAAGGTGTCCAACTTAGAGCACAACTAGAACAGGGAAACATCTCTGCACACACCTGGGTGAAAACCCTGTAGGTGGCCATTTCCAGGCAGAGAGTGGAGTGAGTTTCCTGAAGGCTAGGGAAGAGGATGGCGATCCTTTGCTTCATTCTCTTAGTGTGGGGAGAGAAGCACACCAGAGGTTCTGCTCCTTCCAGCCCACCCTCAGGCCAGTTTAACATTTGATAGGCTTCCTTCCTGGGAATGGAGGCAGAAACAAGGGGAGCCCCAGACCCAGTAGTGGAGGGGGCGGGGTTCCTGCTTCTGTGTGAGCTGCAGGGAACGTGGTCTCTTAGTACGAGCACTTGGGGTGGGAACTGAGGACAGGATGGAGCTTGGGGAGGAAGAAGTACCTTCAGTCAACATGCCCAGATGGGCGTCGGGGGCTCGTTGGGCTGAGATGGTGGAGCTCATGGGCTGCCTGCTCTCCCTCTAGAGAGGAGCAGGAGAAGCTGAACGTGTGGGTGGCACTGCTGAACCTAGAAAACATGTACGGCTCTCAGGAGTCACTGACCAAGGTCTTCGAGCGGGCCGTGCAGTACAACGAGCCTCTCAAGGTCTTTCTCCACCTGGCTGACATCTACACCAAGTCAGAGAAATTCCAGGTAGGAGTCTGGGCCAGGTGGCCTGCTGCCAGGGGGTCCTCAGCCACTCGAAACTAACTCCTGGGAGTCATAGAGGCATCTGGGAAGAGCCCCACATTCTGGATCCAGTCCTGCTCCGTGACATCTGGGCCCTAACTTGCTCATCTTCCAAGTGGGAGAAGTCATTTCTCCCCACCTGTGCTTTAGGAACGTGGGGTGAAGATGAGAGAAATGAAGGGACACTGGGCCCCTGGTGTGTATCCTTTGGGCTGCTGACAGGGGTGTTACAGACAGAAGGTGACATCTCAGCCCAGTGTCCCCTTTCCATCTCTCCTGTACTCACTTGTCATTCTCTCGTCTAGTCTTAGGGCCTCCTTACGGGCACAGGATTAGTTGAGAGCCTCCCCATCGTGTCAGGCCTCCTCGTGTGCTCTCCTCATCTCTCTGAGCCTGCCTGCTCCCTCCAGCTTCTAGAGTTGGGCCTACTCAGTGACTGGAGTCTGTGAGCCCAAGTCTAACTTCCCACAAGCATAGCTGCTTGTCTCTATTGTTGCTGCCTCTGTCGTATCATCTCACCTTACCTCGTCTTTCCCACAGGAAGCTGGTGAACTCTACAATCGGATGCTGAAGCGTTTCCGGCAGGAGAAAGCTGTCTGGATCAAATATGGTGCCTTTCTTCTGCGGAGGGGCCAGGTTGGGGCCAGTCACCGTGTGATGCAGCGAGCCCTCGAGTGCCTGCCCGTTAAAGAGCGTGAGTGCTCACTCCCTCCTACTGGCCCATTCCTGAACACGTTAGGCTCTCTTATCTGGTCACAGGGATTGGAGGTCTTCTTGTCTGAGGCGGGTATTAGGAAAGCCTTGTGGAGGGTACATAGCTCTCTCTCTGTTGATTATATGCTCATGAACATAATGCTTTTTGCATTTAAAATGCTAAGCTCCAAAGATGGAGGAACAAAAAGCAATTAGCATTAACTCTGTTGTCCCTGTCCCACTCCCCTTTCTGGGCCCAGAGAGTAGAGTGTCTGCAGTGGGAGTTGTAGATCAGAGCCCAGCTGTGTATTTGGCCCTAAACCGACCCCACTGTCCCTCTTGTCATCACCAAGGTCTTGGGACCCACGAATAGGGAGTCGTGAGTGTGAGTGTCCCTGCAGCACATTCTCTTGTGGCGACGAGTCTGTCTGCTTTGTGTGTCCCCTCCCTGCAGACGTGGATGTGATTGCCAAGTTTGCCCAGCTTGAGTTCCAGCTGGGGGATGCAGAGCGGGCCAAAGCCATTTTTGAGAACACGCTAAGCACCTACCCAAAGCGCACGGATGTCTGGTCGGTCTACATCGACATGATCATCAAGCATGGCAGCCAGAAGGAAGTCCGGTGAGAGGGGAAAACAGACCAGGGCTCAATTCCCTGTGAGGGGTTAGGGACATGGGCCAAGCAGATGAGGTTTAGCCCCACAGAAGCTCCCAGCCTCCCCAGTTCTCTTCCTCTATCTGGAAAAACAGCTTTGACATGACGTAACACGTCCTATGGCATTCACTTTTCCACCTTCTTTTTCTGCCTCAGGGGCCAGCCTCCCGTCTGTGTGTGGCACCTTGGGTGGGAGGTGGCTGGCCCTGGCCTGGGAGCCAGGAGGCTTGGGTTTCCCTCCTGATTAACCCTGTGCCGGCTCTCGTTGTAGAGAGTGTTCACAGGCCTTATCCCGGTGCTGTCCACCAGCGTCCCCACAAGGTGGGGGGGATTAGAGATGGGTAGACTGAGTCCAGAAAGAACTAGTGCCTCGCCCAAATCCATCAGTGAGTTTTAAGCAGGGCTTTTCTCACAGATCCGTACCTCACTGTGTCCCCCTATCTTAGTAGCTTTGTCTTGATTCCCTGTGTGACTTCAGGCCAGTAAGTCCTTTAGCACCTGTGGGTGTCTGTCTGCTCATCTGGAAGGTGAGGGTGGTGTTTCTCTCCCCATGCTCATGCTGGGAGTTTATAACGGTAATAAAAATAAAGATAGAAGTGGGAGTGCTGGCTAGCAGAGTCCCTGGCTCCGGAGCCAGAAAGCAAGTGGGGGAAGGTTAGCGGGAATCGTGTGTCCAGGGCCCAGGAGGCAGATGCTGCCTGCTCTTCCTCACAGGGACATCTTCGAGCGGGTCATTCACCTGAGCCTGGCCCCCAAGCGAATGAAATTCTTCTTCAAGCGCTACCTGGACTACGAGAAGCAGCACGGCACTGAGAAGGATGTGCAGGCAGTCAAGGCGAAGGCCCTGGAGTACGTGGAGGCCAAGAGCTCCGTGTTGGAGGACTAGTGGCAGGCGGGCTCCGGACGGCCACCGTCAGCAGCGGGCCCGCCCGGCGGAACCTCAGGCGCCGGGGCAGTTGAAAAACTGTGGTGCCTGAGGACTCTATTTAAGTGCTGCTTTTTCTGCAGCACCCTTGGGGTAATCCTGTTAGGATAAAAAAGAACTTGAGATTTCTTGTAGTTAGTTTTTGCTTGTTTTAAGTATCAATTTATTCCATCTTTTTTCTTGTCTGAGGCTGCTCAGTGGTTGCAGGCAACAGGCTCCTGGACTCCCAGAAGACTTGAGGGTCTCTCCATGGCAGTTCCCTGGGGAACAGGAATGGAGGGCTGACTCCTGAGCCTTGTGAGGTCAGGATCCCACTTTGGCCCTGGTAGGCTCTTGGTCCAGCCAGAAGGGGGTCAGCAGGGTCCAGGGAGCGGACCCCCTGCCCTGGATCTTGGAGTCTCTGGGCATTCCCTCAGCCTCAGCTCAGCTGGCACCTTGTGCCCTTTTGTGGAGGCTGTGAGGCTGGGACAGGAGGACAGAGGTGGAGCCCAGAAAGGAAAATTGGGGAACCTGAGCGCCTGAGAGGAAAGCCACAGGTATTGGCTTAAACCACCTGGTGATGTCTCCTCCCAGGCCCACCAGGGCCAGACTACCCACCTCTCCAAATTGGGTGCCTCATTTGTGAAATGGGGTTAAAAAGTCCTACCTTGAAGGCTGGTTCTGTGGATTAAACGAGAGCGTAAGTGTTGGGTGCTGCTGCCAGGCCTGGCAGGGAGGAGGCTCAGGGAGGACCTAGACCAATGTGCTGTGTGGCTTTGGGGAGAGACACGGTTTCTCTGTGTCTCCTTGTAGCTCCTCTGGGGAGAGGTTGCTGGGCAGAGGGCATCGACTGGCTTGGTGGTGGTTCTTGAGTCCTGAGGGAGAGGGGACATGATGGACCCACCATACCCACACCTCCCTGTGACCCTTGTAAAATTCCCAGGAAGATGGTCTCTCTCCAGTATGTTCCAGAGTCCCTGGAGGCCAGCACAGACCCAGTTAGTTGTTGAAGCCAGTGCTTTTTTGGCTTGGTCTTGAGGGAATTAAACATTTTCTTTAGCAGAGCTTTAAATGTCCTGAGGGCTGGAGAGCTTTTCCCTGGGAAATGACTGCGTTGTAAGCCAGGAAGCAGGACAGGGGCAAGGGAGGGCCTCTCCAGTTTTGGAGGTGGTGGAGGTGATCAGGGCAAGGATGGGCGTGGGAGGGAGGCAAAGCTGGGACCGGCCTGGTTCCTGGTCATCGGCACTAGGTTACAAGAGCTGGTCTGCCCTACTGAGTGCACGATCTCCCGGCTCTTGAAATTTAAGCTGAGCTTCCCTCTGAGAAGGGCCAAGCTCTATCTGTCTCCCAGATCAAATCAGATAATGGGATGCAATTGCGAAGAGATCATGGGCCCCAGGGCCTTCCCACGTGTGGGAAGGAGCACCCGGCTCTCCCTGCACCCCTGCCCTCCCATCCAGACTTGCCCAGAGTCTCAGTCCCTTTTGCTTCCACACAGGATGGGATTTGGGCCTGTCCCATGACCCCCAGCCTGCTGTGTCTTGGCCCACCCGATCATGCAGACAGCAAGATCATCCTTTATACCAAGAAAAACTTTATCAAAAATTCAAATATACAAAGGAAAACTAGAGGCATACCTTGGAGGGCACCAGAGCAGCGCTGTCCATATGCAATTACACACAAATTAACTGCACAATATCCTATACAAGGAGCCTACTGGTGAGTTTCATTGTCACCTGGCTCTGCTGGCCGGTCTTCCCAGCCTTGGAGTCCCACCAGCAAAAGGTCATCCACATCGTAGTTAATTAAGGACCAGTTCTGGGAAAGGGTCTCTTCTCCAAAGCTGTTGACCAAGTGGCTGGTGGCAACAGGAGAGGGGTTTCTTCAGGTCTGAGAGCCTTCCTGTCTGAGCTGACCACGTGGTCTGCTACCTTTCTCCTCCGCACCCCAGGTTACTTTGTGTTCCTTTCACCTGGCCTGTTTCCCCAAAAAGCTGTGGTTAAAAAAAAAAATCTCAGGGCCTGCCCGGTGGTGCAGTGGTTAAGTTCACACGTTCTGCTTCTCGGCGGCCCGGGGTTCACTGGTTTGGATCCCGGGTGCGGACATGGCACCACTTGGCAAGCCATGCTGTGGCAGGCGTCCCACATGTAAAGTAAAGGAAGGTGGGCATGGATGTTAGCTCAGGGCCAGCCTTCCTCAGCAAAAAGAGGAGGACTGGCACTAGTTAGCTCAGGGCTAATCTTCCTCAAAAAAAAAAAGTCTTCAGATGTTGATGTGAGCAGGCAGTGGGGTTCAATTTGGGACCAAGTACTGTCATTTGCAAAGAGCATGGGAACAGGCCCCTTAGGAGGGGAGCAGGGCCATCTCTATGTTGTCCTGGGCCCTGCCGTTGCCCACCAGACCCTGGGCCCACTTGTGCAGGCGGCTGTAGAGTGGGAGGCCCTGGTTCTCGCGATACAAATAGACGCCGGTGATGGCGTTCCACTGTGGCCGCGGCTGTGTGCCTTCCACTGGGAACTTGGCAACCAGCTCCTCATCGTCCTTGTTGAGGGCCACGAAGCCAAAGAAGCGTCGCACATTGTTGGCAGCCAGCACCCGCGAGTGCACCTCGGCCGTGCGCTGGAAGAGCTGGTCCTCGTTGGAGCGGTACTGCGCCCAGTAGGCCTCCTGGCGGTAGCTGAGCGGGGAGCAGTAATGCTTGAGGCACTTGGTCAGGAACACCAGGATGGCCACCACGCCGATGAGCAGCCACCCGAAGAGCTGGCCAGAGAAGGGTCAGGGTTGAGGAGAGTCAAGGAGCTGCCTGACCCCGACCCGCCCCAGGAAGAAGACACTGGTCGGAGCCGGTGGGCTGGGCCGAACCTGGGCCTGAGAACCCCCGGAGACCTGGCTCTGGCACTTGCCTGGCCGCAGCTTCTGCTTCTGTAAGGGAAGCAGGCCCTTCTGGCTGTGATTCTACCTCTTTGTCCTCCCTGGAACTCACGCTTGCTCTGTTCTTAGACTTTGCCTCCTGCATTTTCTGCTGCCATTCCTGCAGCCCTAAGGCCGTCCCTCCCTGGCATCTCAGCCCATCAAAATCCAGCTCAAACTGCCAGGCTCAGCCCAGAGGCCACCTCCAGGAAGCCTGCAAAGGCACCTCTGGGAGCAATCTTGCCTTCTCTGAGTCCCTCATGACCTGGTTCCTCTTACACATTGTTCTTTGCCTCGTTTTGAAGTCTACTCGTGTGCTGGTCTCAAATACTTGTGTGTGAGCCTCTCGAGGGCTAGGACCCTCAAGGTCATCTTCCCCTCCCCATTCCATGCTGTACGGAGATCTGTGGGCATTTGATCATCATCAAGTAAATTTTTTTTCTCCGTCTACCATTTTCCATCTCATTCAGTGCTGTCTCCAGCCCTGCCTCTCTGTCTGCTTGTGTTTCTTATGTACCTGAGAAACCTTTTAGAAAATCTTGTGCTCTTTCCGCTCTCCCCCTCACCCCCTGCTTCTCCAGGTGAACATTTCCAGCTATTTTTCTGCTTCTGCCCTGGTCTCTGCCCTGGGCTGTCTCTCCCCTGACCAACCTCCGCTGCTTCAGAACTAAGCCAAGGCCAAAGCTAGGATCCCGGCAGCAGCTGCTGCTTCCTGCTTCGACTCCCCTTCCTGGCTCTAGGCACTCCCCTTATGTCAGCAATACTCGAGGCCGACTCAGTGCTGGGCCAGGGTCCTTCCCAGGGTGGGAACATGCTCGTCCCCAGAGCCAGCCACACTTCATTATCAACTCATGGCTAACAGCAAACTTTTCATAAGCTTGCAGAGGTTCATGCTCACTCTGGCTGGAGTGAGGGGTTTAATCTGCGACTAGGATCGAGGCTCTGAGCCAGAAGAATGTTTCTTTTAATGTTTAAAACTCTTATTTGGGACTGGAATTGCCCCACCAAGCACTAACCCATGATTACCCAGCTCTGATAACTGACACTGATAATCTAGTGCTTTCCTGGAGACCTCAGCCCTGAGGACCAACTCTGGCTTTAACGCTGGGCCATCCTGGCACTTCCCCTCCAGCCACCACCCAGGGAGGAAAGGAGAGGTGCCTCCTTTTACACGGCCTTACCTGGGACTCGTACTTGAGCCTGCGACTGACCTCCTCCCGGAAGCCTGACAGGTTGGCAGGGCCCTCCCCACAAGGGAACCTGGCGAGGATTTCTGTGGTGTGGGCTGGTGGGAAGCCCTCTTCCCTGGCTGTGAGTGAAGAAGGGTCCACGAACTCGCTGAGAGCGCAGACATAGGCCTCACCGCGCAGCAGGGAGATGACAGACCAGGTGACGGGGGCCACGGCTGCACGGCCCAGGATGGAGCTAAGGAGGAGGAAGTTGGGGGCAGCCGAGCAGTTCTTGGTCCTCCGGTACTGGCACTCAGCAACTAGGTTCCACGTGTGGTTGTTGAGGATGACGCCAATGAGGAAGAGCGCCAGGGCGGGCACACCGATGGCTGTCAGCCCGTACAGGTAGTTCCGGGCTGGCGAGCAAGGGCAGTGGAAAGCCACCACAGAGAACAGTTCCTGGCTGCCCACGGTGCCCAGAGCCACCAACCCGTTGAAAATCATCACATCCTTGCTCTTAAAGAAGAGTGATAGGAAGCGGAAGTTCTCTGCGATCAGGGCTGCCATGGTGACAGGTCGACCGGGGGACCGACGGCAGGGGTGGAGGCAGGAGGAGACCGGGATCGATGGTTCCTGGTGGCACGAGGAAGGAGCTCAGGCCGGTGGGCACCCGAAGGCAGGGCACAGCCTTGCTGTTTATCCGCTACAGTGGCCGGCCTGGCGCTTCCTGTGGAACAGTAGATGACTGATAAATGTTTGCTTCTGAGAACAAGGATTGAGGCCTGGCTGGTGAGAAAGGATGGAGACGGGAAGAATGACGGCAGCCACTGTTCACTGAGCTCCTACTCTGCATCAGTTGCTTTCCACCCCTTGGTTGCCCATCTTCGAGATCCTGCACTGAGCTGTCACATCCCCCGTGTGTGTAGAGGAGGTGGAGGCTTCCTGAGGGTGAGTGGCTTGCCAGGGTCACATGTAAGTAGCAGAGCTGAGATTCTAGCTCAGGTCTCTCTCCCTCAGACACCTAGGTTCTTGAAGATCAGTACCACAAGCTTCCCTTGAGGCGGAGATTAGGACTGGCCTGTGGCACTGGGGAATGTGGGATGTTGACTGGCTTTCCCCTTGGGATTCCAGGTAGTGCCTAGATACTGAGGGACATAGGACTCTTTGGAGCTTGTGTCCTCAAGGCCTCTAGCCCTATGGGTATAAAAGCTGGAGTGGGTATCCTAGTGGATAAGGGACTTGGACTTGACCCTGTGATGTAGGGTGGGGTGGAGGAAGGGGCCCTGAGTCAGTGGTGAGCCTGGGGCAGCATCCGTGGAGTTCATAAGAAGCTTCTCATGTTGGAAACCTCAGGCTCTGGACTGGTTTAGGAGATTCTGGCTCTCAACATACTTCATGACTTTCCTGTGGGCCTCAGTGTCCCCATCCGTGAAAAGAGGATAAATCGTTCTGGAACTTGCTCTCCTCACGGATGCTGGAGGGAAAAGAAAGGGAATAAACGATGCCTGGTAATTGTCCTATGTGTGAAACCCTCCGTCTCTCACCCTGTGGAGTGTTCAGGGCCGCTCCCAGAGGGGAGGCACAGAGGGATGGTTCTCCTTCCTGCAAAGATCAGGAAACTAAGCCCTAAAGAGGATAAACCCTACTCGAGGCCATTCAAATATGGAGGTGCCTGGACAGGACCACGAGCTCAGGAGGCCTGGGACGTGGACAAGGGTGAGTCAAGCTGAGTCCTCCGTTTTCTCAGTCTCCTACTGACCTTGCTCTGTGCCCATCCATGAGAGCCCTGACGAACCTCCCCTTTACCTTCCCACCCATAACCCCGTCCCTATCCAGCAGCCTCTCCTAGCAGCCCTGTTCCACCGAGGTCCCTGGGCCCGGGAAGCACCCAGCCTCCCAGCGACAGAAAGTTTTGGTGAAGGCTAAGCCTTGGCCATGCCCACCAGCCCATCTCGAGCCTGTCTCTGCCTTGGTTTGGGCTGCAGCGGTGCTGGCCGCCTGCCAGGAAGTGGCCATGACCTCAGGCTACAGCCATGTTCTGCCCCAACTCCCTTCTCAGGCTCCACCCACACAAGCCAAGAGATGGGCCAGGGTGTGGCCCCATGACTTTCTCCTCATTGCGGGCTTGAAAAACAAAAGTCCGCAGCGGGGAGTGGAGGGATGGGGTGGCAGCAAACAAAGCTGGAGAGACCTCCCCATATTTCCTTCTGTGCCTCCTCGCTACACCACCACCCCTTGCAGCCTCTGCCAAGACTGCCAGATGGGCCCGGGCAGAGCGGGTGGCCACGTGGGGCACCAGGAGATGGAGGAGGAGGAAGGGTGTGACTCTTCCCCAACTCACAGCCCGGGGGCTCCAGTCTGACTCCTTGGGAAAGGGAGTCTGTAATATTGCTGGGGATGCAGGGGTTAAAGCCATCCCCCTCTCCCTCTTCCCCTTCCCGTTTTGGATTCGAGGCTCCTAATGAGCTCCCCATGGGGACCCTGGGTTCATAAACCACCCAAAGTCGGGTACAAGTTGCCTGAACACTGGCGGGTGGTGGGCAGAGGAGGGACCAGGCCATCTTCTAAGACTTCTGCCCCTGTCCCCCCGGCCAGGCCCGGGTGGGACTTCCTCCAACAACAGTCAGAACAAGAGACAGGCCCTGGAAAAGTGGGGTCGGACTGGCCCTGCCCAGAGTGGGGGGCCTCAGCTAGGGGCCTCTCTCCCCGGCACAAACCCTCTGGGCAGCCTCAGGTGGCCCTGCCATGCTCCTCTGTCACCTGGCACGCCCCAGGGAGGAGCTTTTCCTTACCTGGGGCCAGCTGCAGGTACCAGTGGCCTTGGCCTCCGCGGGCTGGAGTCTTGGAGCTGCGCAGACATCAGAGCCCAGGGACTGGGCTTTCAGGGCGGGCCACCCGGTAGAGCAGCGGCCCCACCCAAAGTGCTGCCACGGTACCCTCTGCGGGCTCCCTCCCACTGCTGCACAGACGCGGGGCGCTTGAGACCAGCAGGGCTTGGGGCTGACGATGTCTTCAGGAAAGTTTAACTCCAGAAAAGAAGAAACAACGGGATGGAACACGCATCCAACGAATGGAAAAACAGCTCTCAGGCGCCAGGCAGAGGAGGGGGGGTGCGGCGAGGGCGGTGCGAGAGGAGAGGAAGTCGTGCCTGAGCACTCTGCCAGGGACAGCATGCCGGGGGTTCCACACCGGCGGGACCAGTTCAGGGGCCAGGCCGGGTGTGGGGAGGGGGGAGGTGTGGGGGGGGGGGGGGGGGGGCCTTTGGGGAGATCTGGCCTGGGCCTGCCCTCCAGGCCACTTTTAACAGCACCCCTGCTTGATTCTCACCGGACGGAAGCTGCCGGCAGGAGACGGGCAGGAGTCACGATGCTGACTCCTAGCAGGAGACGCAAGGCCAGGAGCCCCCCTCCCCTATTCAGGCCCTTCTCCCTCAGAGCCGTCCTGCCACTAACTGGACAAACCCTCCCACTGCTGGCTCTTTTCTCCATATGTCAGCTAACTCCCCACGTACTGCTTCAAATCTCCGGAGGGCTGACGAGTGAATTCTGGGGTCTAGGGAGTCTCTGAGGTCCTGTGGGCAGAGCTCTGACAGGTGGGTGGAAATTACAAGGTGGCAGGTCTCTGAAGGAAGCCCTTTATAATGATGAGAGCTGCCCAGCCTGTCCCAGAATGTGGTCATGAGCTCCCCATCTGCGGGACTGTGCAAGCTGAGGCTGAAAAGTCATGGGTCAAGAATGCTGAAGGGGAGAGCCCTGTGCAAGGACAGGCTCAATAACCCTTAGGATCAAGGGGGACACCCCCCCAGACCCTTGTCAGCTTTGTGATGTTTGTGGTTCTATGACAGTGGAACTGCTGAGTGACATGGGAGCCTCCCTGAGCTGGGCTTGTCCATGTGCAGAATGAAGGAAAAGGCCCAGTGCTTATTTTTCATATCCTACCTAATGTGCCAAACACCGTTCCAGATTCTTCCTCAAAAGTTCCCCTCCTCTATCCTCACCATAATCCCGAAAAGCAGGTCTTTTAACATTCATTTTATAGACAGACACTCTGAGGCTCAGAGGGATTTGGTGACTTGCCATAGGTCCTTCGGCTCTAGTCTTTGAACTCAGGTCTGCCTGACCCAAAGCTTTGCTCTTTCCTCCACACGTGTGCCTCCCGATACCTCTGGGCTTTCTTCCCACCGGAAGCCCCGACCACCAATATATACCTGGCCCGCACTAATCTGAATCTTCCCCCTGATTCAGGGCATAGATCGAGTCCCGTCTCCTGGAGGCTCCTCCAGCCCACCTTGGCCTACAGGGCTCGCCCTCTTCCCAAATCATTAACGGGAGGGGGACCAGGTCTCAGAATTGGGAATAGAGGGAAGGATGCATAAAGAAGAGTGGGAATTATTAAAACAATGTTGTAAGGATCAAGATCAAAATGAGTTCTTAGATGAGTGGGACTTACATCTCAGAGATATTTGAGGGGGCAAGAAGCCTATATTCTTGGCCCTGCTTCCTCCTCCTCAACAAAGATAGCTCCATTTCCTGATGACCACCTCCTCTATGTCCAGGAGCAGGGGCTAAGCCCTCAGTTTAGAAATCAACACACACATTAGCACCATGTGCTCAGTGCCCACCACGTGCCGTGGGCTTATCTGCTTCACTCATTTGATGCTCACAACCCCACGAGGTAGGTGTCCACATCCCCACTGTAGAGATGAGGAAACTGAGGCACAGGAAATGAAGCAACTGGCCCAAGGGACACAGTTTGGAAAGTGGTAGAGCCAGCATTTGACCCAGTTCTGTCTCTGGAGTCTTGAGCTGTTTCCGCTCTAGTTACCTCCTCTCACACCCTCCACCGTCATCTCCACCTCAGGGCAGAGCCTCTTAGACTTGGAGCTCCCTCCCCAGGGGGTGGGGTGTTTGAGAAAATGAATCTGTTTCTAACTGCTCGAGCCCTGAGGGTGGTCTGATTTTCCCCTGAGACCCGGATGTAAGGGGAGTGTTAGGGTGGTCTCCAGCGTCCTTCCGTGACACGTGCTGTGGTGTGAATGAGTCGGCTCCAAATTCACAGGTTGAAATCCTAACCCCTAAATGTGCTGATATTAGGAGGCGGGGCCTTTGAGAGGTGCTTAGTTGTGAGGGCAGAGCCCTCATGAATGAGATTAGCACCTTATTAAAGAGGCTGCAGAGAGATCCCTAGCCCCGTCTCTCTCAGATCCCTAGCCCTGTCTGTCTGCTGTGTGAGGACGCAGTGAGAGGACCTGGCTGTGGAGCAGGAAGAAGGCCTCCGCCAGAACTCAACAGGCCAGCTCCCTGATCCTGGACTCCCAGCCTCCACAATTGTGAGAAACGAGTTTTCGTTGCTTATAACCTACCGAGTCTGTGGCATTTTGTGGCAGCAGTCCAAACAGACTGGCACAGGAGGCCTTTTGTGTTTGGTGCTAAATAAATGTGAGGTCCACTTTGACAACTGTTGAGTGACCTCCATGGTGACCACACACCTGGCTTCTCCCGAATGGACCTAACTTCTGCCATCTTGTCTCGTCACCTGTCAACCCAGGCGTGTCACACCAGGTGAAGCTGGGTGTCACGTCCTTATGGCCCACCTTAGCCCACTCAGCCTCTCTCAGGAGACTGGCCAAAATTAGAGGATTCTTGCTTCATGAGACGGCTGGATGCACCTCCCCCACCCAATCTCTGGGCCTTTTAGAGGTACTAAAAAGTCCCAGACGAGAGTGGACGCCAGGGCAGGGGTGAAGTGGCTGGGAGGGGCTGGGCAGATGGGAGCTTGTCCCCTCCAAGCCAGGTCTGAACCCTCTGACAAATACTGCTCATGGCCCCGCTGCCCCAGGGCCATCCAGGGCAGCTGGAGGCAAATTTCCTGCCTCAATGGGCAGGTGAATACATGGGCATGTGGGTCTGCTCATGCAGGGGCCTACCGCCCAACACCTGCAGCCTTCATTGTTCCAGCTGGTCTGGGGGTCTGAGGGGTTGCGGGCGCACAGCCCCATTCCTGCCTCTTCACCTGGCCACGGCTCACACTTTGCTGACGTAGGTGGCCACCTCCTTACGTGGAAGCCGGGGCCCTCCCGCAGCCCAGCCGTTGCCCATCAGCGGCTTCTCCTGGCCCAGCCGCAGGGGCGGCTTGCACTTGTGCCAGCTCGTGAGCAGCCTGTTCATAGTGCCTTGATCGGTGATGCCGCGCAGCTTCTCCTTCTCCTCCTCAGCACCTTTGGTGGTAGCCGGGACAGCAGAGCTAGCAGGGGTTGCGGCCAGGGCCCCGTGGGCGTGACCCAGCTCCAGGTCATGGTTCATGGCCTCGAAGAACTGCTGGATACAGACCTTGGCGAAGGCCCTGGCATGCTCCGTACATGTCTCATCAAAGAGCTTGCGCTCGATGTCAATATAGTGGGACCAGTACTTGCTTTTGAGGAAGGCAGCCTGCGTGAAGCAGGGCCGCACAGAGCGCACGATGAATGCCAGCAGTGTGGTCAGCAGCACGAAGGACCAGCCAAGGGCCTGCAGGGGAGAGAAGAGAGAGTCAGCGAGACACTGCCCTCTGGCCTCCTAAGCCTGTCCAGACCCTACAAAGCACTCTTTACAGCAGGGCCTTTAGGGAAAAGAGTACCAACTGGGCAAGTGACTTCACTTTTTTTTTTTTTTAAAGATTTTATTTTTTCCTTTTTCTCCCCAAAGCTCCCCGGTACATAGTTGTATATTCTTCGTTGTGGGTCCTTCTAGTTGTGGCATGTGGGACGCTGCCTCAGCGTGGTTTGATGAGCAGTGACATGTCCGCGCCCAGGATTTGAACCAACGAAACACTGGGCCGCCTGCAGCGGAGCGCGTGAACTTAACCACTCAGCCACAGGGCCAGCCCCATGACTTCACTTCTTGGCCTCCATTTCCTCTTCTGTAAAACGGGCACAGAAATACCATCTCATGCAAATGAGATCATGTGAGTAAAAGGCCCAAGTGTAGGCCTCACACTCAACACACAGGAGTCAACTGGGCAGACCCTGGATTAGGCTGCCTGGGTTTGAATCCTAGCTCCACTACTTACTAGTTGGCTGGAGCAAGGTCCCTGACTTTTCTGTGCCTCAGTTTCCCCACCCATAAAATGGGGCTAGTGATAGAGATAGTTACAGTTGCTGTGAGTACTAACTGTGACAGTAAATGTGCCGTAGTGCCTGGGACATAGTTAGTGGTTAGCAGCTGTTAGCCATTGTTATTACCCCAATGGGCCCTCGCTGACCTCACCTCTCTCAAGGAAGCCTTCCTTGACCTCCCAGACCGTAGTGGCCCTTCCTGCTCTGAGTTCTGTACCTCTCCTTTGGCTCCTGGTACTGTCTGCCTTTCAGTCGCCAGCCCTAAATGAAACCTCCTCTGTGTGGGCTCCGAGCTGTGCCCTCAGGGGTCACCGAGACAAATCCGATGGTCACTCAAACTCTGTGCTGAGAAGCACTGGATGCTTGGGGGCTAGCTCTGTTCTGCCAATAACTCCCTGTGGGGCGTAGGGCAGAATGCTCCCTCAGCCTGCGCTTCAGGGTCAGCCCCAGCTGCACAGAGAAGCATTTGGCCAGATCAGGATGGTGGACAAGGAGCAAACCCAAAAGCGTGTGATGGGGGCCAGTGCGTAAGGGCAGAGCAGACACCAAGTGGGGGGCCGCAGAGCATGTGCTCAGTTTGCGGGGGCACACCCAAAGCTGCTTAATGAGGAAATGTGAGCACTGTGGGGCTGGATCTCCCGATGTTTCAGGTAAAGCTGGAAATCTGATTTGTATGTGAAAATTTCTGGCTTTAGATGATGCTAACTAATTCTAAAATTGAATTTCAAATTCACACTCTGAGGGCCAAATGAAACATGTCTATAGGCCAGGTGGCTGTCCACTGGGGGCCCTTTTAGCTTCCGATATGATGCTAAAGATGTTTACAGATCAAGTAGAGGGACAGCTGCCCCAGGCCCTGAGGCCCATGGGAGAGGAGGCTCAGGTTTGGGAGTGACACAGCGTTCAGATTGGACACTCAGAGTGTGAAACTCACACAGGGCGTCTGGCGGTGATACAGGCCCCACGGGAGAGAGTTCTGGGCTGGAGGGGGTGGCCAGGGTGTCTGGACTGGCCAGAGCAGAGTGTATATGTTCCTCTAGTTCTTGCAGGGCAGGTCCAGCGCCCCCTCTGCCTCCCCTGACAGCCCCCGGTCCACAGTTTGCAAGGGATGCTGCCCGGGCTGGCCTCCCCATGCTGCAATGACTGAAGGGGAGGCCTGAGCGGCTCCCATGAGTGAGGGCCCAGAGGGGCAGAGGATGTGGGGGTGGAGCTGGGGAGGACCCGAGCTCTGGAGTTCCCGTCAGTGGGCCCTCCAACCCTGCCTTTAGGGCACATCCCAACAATGCACCCCCTCACACAAGCCCTCCCTTTCAGGGGCACCCAGACCCTGAGCTCCCGCTCCCCCAGCAGGGAGGCATCAGCTGGGGGCATTTGCCAGGGAAATGTACCCAAATGGCCCAGCCATCCACCAGCCTCACCACTGCCTAGACCTGGAAGAGGAAAAGGATGCAAATTCCCCCAGGCTTCCATGCTGGAGCTCAGGATGGAAGATGTGGGGCTGGCTGAGCTGTTGGGTCCTCTCTGGGAGCCTCAGGACAGGGCACGGTCCTCTGGACTAAGGTAGCCACGGCGCTTTCTCCAGGTGGCACTGATCTGAGGGAAGATATGTGGCTCTGCCTTCAGAAGCCCCCACCTCAGTCAGGAAAATATGCTCCTGCCCCACAGAGCTCTGTCTGAGCGGGGAGACCCAGACTTGTCTGGGGAGTCCCCATCTGTTGGGGAAACATGACTGTGCCCTGAGGAACCCCGTTTCTAGAGGTAAGGGGATTGGGCCCTTCCAGAGGGACTCTGGTCTGGGAGGGGAGACCCAGCCCAAGGTCATCTGGCCCCCTCACCTGGGAGATGCAGCGCAGGTAGCGCACGGCCACCTCACGGGCCAGCAGCCAGTCGCCGTCGTAGATCTCGGGGCAGGGCACCCGGGCCAGCAGGCGGGCGAGCTCGGGTGGAGGCAGGCCGGGTGCCAGGCTGCCATTGCCCAGCACAGTCACTGGCACGGCAGTGCAGAAGGCGCAGAGGAAGCACTTGCCATCGAGCAAGGTGACAGCCACCCAGATGACGGGTGCAATGAGGGCTCGCTGGGCCATGGAACAGAACATATAGCGCAACACGGCAGGGTCCTTGGCCCGGCGGCCCGGCGGCCGCTTCCACTCCTCTGCCAGCATGGACACGTTGTTGTTCATGACCAGACCGAGCAGAAAGAGCACGAGGGGTGGTGCCAGCAGGATGCCAGCACTGTAGGCAGCGTTGTAGCCCGGCAGGCAGGGGCAGTTGAAGTCGAAGGCAGAGTACATCTGGGCGCTGGCCAGCGCCATGATGCCGCAGATGCCATTCATGAAGGACTCTTGGTTGGACTGCAGGAACTGGAAGATCATCCGGAACTTGTCCATTGTGGCCCCCTCGGGGCCCGGTGGCCTCCTCCCACCTCACCACTGCCTCAAGGATGGCCCCTGTGGCCCACTCTGCATGCGGGGTGCCCACCTCATGGCTGAGATGGGCAGAGCTCAGGGTGGTGGCTAAGGTCACTGTCTCTTTGAGAAACCTTCTAGTCAGGTGCTGGCAGAGAGGGCGCAGGTTGGCCAATCCCATGGGTGCAGCCAGGGTTCTGCCCCTCCCCTCCTCACCTCTCCTGGGTTTCTCTCCACAGCCGTCTCTGGTGCTGGGAAACCACGAAGGCTGCACCTGGTGGGGACCAGTTCTCTGTGGGCGTGGGAGGGGGGCGGGGGGATGGGAAAGAGAGGGCAAGGAAGCTGAGACACAGCTGTGAGACACTGTCTCCAGTAGGGTGGGTGTTTGGGAGAATCCAGGCCTGCTGCAGAGGGCTGTGCTTCTGGGCCTTGTCCCCTGGGCTCCTAGGAAGCATGTCGTCTTCCTTCTGCCCTTCCCATCGAGTCTTTCCTCCATGTTGTATCAGTGTCGAAGAGGTCTCCTCTATCAGTTCAGATGGTATAACGATGAAGCGATGGCAGCGTAGTGGCCATAATGGGGGTGATAATGGTGGAGGCGGGGATGCTGCTGCTGGAGGTAAAGGTGATAGAGGTGCTGATGGCACTGATGCAGGTGAAGGTGCTGCTGGCGGTGGTGATGGTGATGGCAATGTTGGTGGTGGGGGTGGTGCTGATGCTGGTGATGGTGATGGTGGTGGTGGTGGTGGTGGTGCTGATGCTGGTGATGGTGATGGTGGTGGTGGTGGTGGTGATGGTGATGGTGATGGTGATGGTGGTGGTGGTGCTGATGCTGGTGATGGCAATGTTGGTGGTGGGGGTGGTGGTGATGCTGGTGATGGTGATGGTGGTGGTGGTGATGCTGGTGATGGTGATGGTGATGGTGGTGGTGGTGAGGATGGCAGTAATGCTGGTGATGTGGTAGTGATGGTGGTGGGGATATTGCTCACAGCGGGGATGGTGGTGGTGCTGGTTGTGTTGGAGATAGTGCTAATGCGGCATGGCATAGAGTAAAAAGCACTGAATTTGGAGTCAGAGGATTTGGATTTAGGAGGTGGCCAAGTCCCATCCCTGCCAGGCATAACGCAGGTGCATTTGTGTCCCATCTGCTTGTGTCTCTGTGGGTATGTCTGTGTGTTTGTGGATTGTGGATGACAAATCCTTTCCTGGCTCCACCTCCTACCTCTGCTCTCCAGATCAAAAACTGAAGGGTGGGGCAGTGGGCTTTCATGCCTGGAGCTCAGGCCTCCGAAAGCCTGTGGGAACCAGGCCAGGGCCCCTCCTTCGGCATATCAAAGTGGGGAGGAGCTTACAGTGATCCCTTTGATGCTGCCAACTCTCCCAGAAGAGCAGGTCAGACCCAGCCCCACCCAGACAGCTCCTGCCCGAGGTGAGCACGTGGGGCTGGGGCTGAAGCAGAACAAGAGCCTGGACAGGGAGACTCCCGGGGGCCCTCAGATCTGTGCAGCCTGTGCGTGCCCCGTGTGAGCTCACTGTGGCCTTGGGCCTCAGTGTCTGTGTATCCTCATGTGTGTGTGTAACCACATGAGTGGTCCTGTGTCTATGAGTCTCTGTATGACCGACAAGAACTGGCACTGACCAGGGCTTCTCCTGTGTCAGTCCCTATGCCAACATTCTACATACATCACCTTGTGTAATCCTCCTACAATCTATGGGATAGGTGCTATTGTCCCCTTTTACAGAGGTGGGGACTGAGGCTCAGAGAGGTTAAGTTACTAGCTAGAGGTTACACAGCTTGTAGGTGGAAGAGTGGATTTGAACCCAGGCTAGGTGGGAGTAGGGGTGGTGGAGGAGGAGGCAGGGAAGTGTTTTCTGGCTTTTCTCCTCCGGCTGAATCAGGTTCTACGGTTCTACTAGACGGGGTTGAAACTCTATTGTGTCACAAATAGGATATATGTGGAGAAGGATATTGCATCCCTTGGCCCTCAGGCTGGCCCTGGGGCAACTGAAGCCTCTAGGCTGGGACATCTAGAGGACCCTTGTTGGGCACTCCTGAGGGGGGCACCCACAGATGGAGAGCAGGATGAGGGAGATCCCGCCAAGGAGGTGTCCACCCCTGAACATCTATTGCAGATCGATGTGCATGGCTGACAAGGGTTCTGAGCTGCTAACAGAGCCTGACACACGGCCCCAGGTCTGGAGTAGTGGGCTGGGGGGTTGCAGGAGGCCAGGAGCCCAGGAGGGGTGTGGCTCCAGGGGCCGCTTGGAGTCTCTGTCTTCTGTAGGGGACATGGCTCCCTGTTAGTTGTGGACGGCCCTTTGGTAGCACCCAAGCTGGCCTGCTTTAACCACATATACACTCTCTGCAAATTCAACTTCGACGTTGTTTTAAAATGCTTTGATATAAAATAATTTGATTGGATTCTAAACCTATTACTGTCATTATCACAAGAATTTTGGTTACAGTTATTGAAAGGAAAGGATGAGTGTTAGAGTCTTTACTTACCATTTCAACAGCTGTAAATTTTTGAATAGTTGTAAAAATTAGTTTTAAATTTATCACCTCCTTGGGCCAAGATTTTTGTGGGTGATGTTTATCACACAATTGAAGAGATGATCATTAAAGAGCCTTGAGGGGTGAGGGGTGGGCAAAATGGGTGAAAGGGGTCGAAAGGTACAAACTTCCAGTTATAAAATAAATAAGTGCTGGGGATGCACCACACAGCATGGCGACCATACATAACAATACTGTTAACAATACTGTTTTGTATATTTGAAAGTTGCAAAGAGAGTGGATTTTAAAAGTTCTCATCACAAGAAAAAAATTTGTAACTATGTGTGTAGTGATAGATGTTAACTAGACTTGTTGTGGTGATCATTTTGCAACAGGTATATACATTGAATCATTACGTTGCGCCTCTGAAACTAATACAATATGTCAATTATATCTCAATTACAAAAAAAAATCTTGACTAGGAATGGCCCATAGTTATTTCATTCAAAAAATCTGATGTTAAAAAGTTGTGTTCATGGAAGCAAGCCCAAGGCTCTCATTTTAAGAGGTCTGGGAGATTTCATTTGGATGTTTTATACCAACTCAGTGTTTAATATCTTTCCTAAGGCTTTGCACTACATCGTTCTTATCATAATGATATAAGATAAAGAAGACGTAACTTTTTTTCTGCCAGGCTCTATAAAAATGTCTCCAGATCCTCTCAGTTTGCCCCAGAGTCATGTACCGATGGACCGGGATGTTCAGAAGGTTAGGAGCTCTGCCTCTGAAGGATGGAGGGGCGGGGGCAGGTGCCTCGAGGGAGAAGGCGGGCTGGCCTCTTGAACAGCAGCTGAGCACACAGCTGTGTCAGTGACCACAGAGCGGGGACAAGGCTGCCTGGGGGAGACTCCTTAACCGTTACCCCTTTACTTGTGCTGTCCCCCTCCTGGAATACCATCTGCCCACCCACATCCACTTCAAGGTCCCACCCATTCTCTTATTGTTTCTTTCACTGAACAGTCAAGTCTTTTTCTCAGCAAGAAACCATGTCACGGAGTGGTTAAGAACACCCTAACCAATGACCTGCGTTCAGGTCTCAACCCTGCCACACACCAGCTGGGACCTTGGGCTGCTAATTTAACTTCTGGGTCCACAGTCTTCTCATCTGTAAAGTGGGGAGAATAGAAGAGTTAACCTCTCAGGTTGTCATGAGGGGTCGGGGAAATGCTGCAGTGAAAGAGTTCAGCACAGGGCCATGCCCACAGCGTGCTCCCAGGAAGTGATGATGCTTTATCGCCCGTAACAGTAAGAAATACCATCTCTGCACCTGAGTTTTAGTAGCACATTTTGAAAATTTGTATTAGTTTCTTATTACTGCTGTAGAGAACTAGCACAAATTTAGTGGCTTAAAACAACACAAGTTTATTCTCTCATAGTCCTGGGTGGTCAGGAGTCTGAAATGGGGCTAAAAATCAGGGGGCGGCAGGCTGTGTTTAGGGGAGAAGCCACTTCCTGGCTTTCTCCAGTGTCTAGAGGACACACGCGTTCCCTGGCTCGTGGCTCTGCAGCACTCCGACCTCTGCTTCCATCACACATCTTGTCAGACTCAGATCCTCCTGCCTCCCTCTTATAGGGACGTGTGATTACATCGGGCCCACCCAGCTAACCCAGGATAGTACCCCCACCTCAAGATTTTTAAAGTAGTCACATCTGCAAAGTCCCTTTTGCAGGTAACACATTCACAGGTGCAGCGATCAGGAGCGGGGCCTTGGGGCCCATTATCCTATCTCCTCCAGTGGGGTCTTTGGCAGTGCATTTAGCAGAGATCTTCTCTGCCCCTCCCCCATAACTCCTGGAGTGTGGCTTGTGACCGGGGTCAACAGGAAGCAGGACGTCATGACCCAGCTCAAACTTCTCCACATGTTGGCAACAAAGTCACCCACCGCCACTGCTGTGGGATGTACACCGGCCCCTTCACTTCCTGCCCTCAGGAGCATTGTCCCGGTACTCAGCCCAGTGCTGGTGAGTCCACTCCGGCTTGGAGGAGTTAAGAGTACCATGAAAAGTAGCATGCAAAGGGGGCCTCTGGGGAGCGGGTGCGCTACCTCTAGGAAAATTCCCAATTTGCATAGGAGAGCACGAGTGTGTGGTGCTCCAGCGGCACTGTCCTCAACCCCCAGCTGTGGGAGCACCCAGAGAACAAGGCAGTGGAGGAGGCAGGAGCTGTCAGTGAGATATGGCTGCCAAGGCAGCTCAAGTACCATCAGGCTGTGTTACCAGAGGTATGACATCTTTACCTAAGAAGGATAGAGTGCTATTCTCTTCTGCATCAGCCAAACTGTATTGGGGGTTGTATATTGTGGCAAAAAAATTGGTGGTGCTCACCAAATATTCCATGGCTTCCTAGCAATTCCTAGCCCCTGTCCCAGGTAGGTTGGGGCCATGGGATTGAGAGTTCCCCACTTCTTACCGCCCTCGCTCTTCTTTCTCTCCCCTGCCTCTCAGACTCTGGACGGAAGTGAAGCAGGGCCTCTGTGCCACCCATCCCCGTCAGCACTCACCTCGACATTACAAAGGCTGCTCACGACCCACCTGAGACATTGGCCCAAGGCAAGCAGGAGGCACCGCAGTTAGTGCCCCTCCAATGACAGTCGGAGATTGGCGATAAACACTGCCCCCCTCCCCTCTGGGTTGATTGAGCCCGGGTGTGGGCTCCCAGGGTTGCCCGCAGCGGTGGCTGGCTGGCCCCGCAGCACCGTTTCCTGCTTCACTCCCCTTCCTGTATCACTTCCCCTGGTCCTTCCTGGTGTTCCCTGGGAGAACTTCCACATAAACTACTTGCAGTCACTTCCTTGTCTCGGGACCTGGGGAATACCACGTGTCTGGATGGTGGCACCCTAAGATGGGTCAGCCGGGTCCTCAAGTGACCAGAGGAGCCCCCCCTCCCCGTTCACCCTCCTCAGACTGCCTGAGTGAGAAATACATCTTTGTTTTGCTAAGGCGCCGACATTTCGGTTTCATTTTTACTGTATTTATTTTTACATCCTGGTCTAACCTGACTAATACAGTGTGGGCTGCTCTACGGGTACATTTTTTTTTCTGCTATTTCTCCCCAAATTCCCCCAGTACATAGTTGTATATTTTAGTTGTGGGTCCTTCTAGTTGTGGCACGTGGGACGCCGCCTCAACGTGCCCTGATGAGTGGTGCCATGTCCGAGCCCAGGATCTGAACCAGCGAAACCCTGGGCCGCCACAGCAA